CACATATGAGTATGAGCACACAAATACACAAGAAATAATACACACCTCGTAAAGTTAAGAATATCTATCTGAATCTCCGTCTCTCTGTCCGTGCCTGTCAATCCCTTATATAGGTCGCGTAAGCTCTGCCTTCCAGAAAGACTTATGACGTGTTGTTTACATATCTCGGGTTATCGAGCACATTCGAGAAAATACCAGGAAGACAGTCTAACATGTTTAATTGGTAAACATGGTTGTAAATAGGATACATCAAAAGAATAGGCCACGCCACCAACAGACCGCTAACGTCTGCTAGGGATCTAATTTAGGTCAAGTAAAATTCAAGCACGGAAAAAGTGTGCTACATAACAATCACCAATAAGACCGACTAATACCAGTACTGAGGTACCGGTATGTGATTAAATTTTAAAAGGTAATGGGGATGTTCTGCCTGTCATTTTCTATATAGACTGCTCTTCAAACTGCTTGGTCTTGTTGATAAATCCAAAATCTCTCTTTCATATACTTGTCTTTATCCCAATGTGCCTCCTTGTCGATGGAAGGACTTCTTTTATAGAAAATTAAAATATTGTGTCTGAATAAAACTTAGAAATACCATCTAATCATATCCTGAACCTACACAATTTCTTATTGCTTGTTAATATTATTCACGTTTTTTGTTTAGTAAAACTAATTTATTTTACTTTTATTTTATTGGAAATATTAAATATTTTTGTAAGCCTTAATAAAAAATAATTACTATGATGATGCTTATTTATTTGATTTCTTTAGTTTATAATTAAGTGCCTTATTAATGTTTTTAAAATACTAACTTAAATTACTAATAGGCCTGTAAGTGTAAATACAGTTGTCGTAATGGAATAGTATTATTAGTAATATTAGTATTATTATTAGCACCAGTTTAGTATTTATGTAATCAAGGGACAAAACTGGTCCAAAATTCAACGGACTACGTTAACTAAAATTAATAAAAACTATTTAAATAACTGGGTTGTATTAATTTCTAATAATTTTGTAAAACTGTTTCCCATTAATTAAATGATAAGCGTTCCGTGGATTTTTGAAGATGAACATTAATAGTCATTTTTTTATATCTTCATATTAAATTATTAATGACAAAGCCATTTCCTACAGCCCAATTTTTTTATGTGAGGAGGGAATTTTAAAAATTCTGAGGTGCATAACATTTTTCAGCAATTACTATTATTAATGAAACAAAGTTATTCTTCTTTTTAAAAAAAATAAAGCTCCAGCGCTGTTAAGTGTGAGTTTTCATTATAAAATAATAAGCTATTAAGTACATACCGGTGTATAAAATTAAATACGATACCGGTCACAAAATTCTAAATGCTGCAAATATGGTATCCCAGTGTTTGGAAAAAGATGTACTCTACATCACTGATAATTTAAATACTTTTATTAGAAAACTGTGACGTAAAAAAGACACCCTTGCTAAGCTGTATGTTGTATTGCCACTAACGTTTTTGCGTAATTTTTTTTATAAATGCTGACCGCCTGCTCGCATGGGTATTGCGGTACCTGTAAAATGTAGTTGTTGGCATCCTTCTATCATTCGTGAGACAGGGGTGTAGCTTTTGTCAAGTTTTGTATTATTTGCACTTTCTAGAATGTCTTATTTAGGCGCCGATCCTGGAGTCTTAGCTGCACTTGTTGTGGGAGAACCTGGACTGGTGGTTTTCTTTAGCCTTCCATGTGCACCTTTTGCTACAATGTCTTCATCGAATTCCCACATTTGCTGCTGTTCACCAGCCAGAACGATGATCAGCAATACTTTTATGTTGGCTACCCTCATTTTTTCTTCTACACACATCTTTATAGCACAGATGCGGCCATCCAGTATGTCTTGACACCCCGACCCCCCCCCCCCTTCCCCCACCCCCTTCTACCTATTCTCTGTACAGCAGGTCTTTTCAAATTTTTAATTCTCTTCACATGAAGAACGATGATCAGCAATACTTTTATGTTGGCTACCCTCATTTTTTCTTCTACACACATCTTTATAGCACAGGTGCGGCCATCCAGTATGTCTTGACACCCCGACCCCCCCCCCCTTCCCCCACCCCCTTCTACCTATTCTCTGTACAGCAGGTCTTTTCAAATTTTTAATTCTCTTCACATGGCCTAACAAGCGAAGGTGCCTCTTACTAATTCTCTATCTTAGGTAGAAATTGTTGAGTTTCCACTCATGACTGGCTGATGTAATCCACACTTCACTACCTTAGGGGAGCGTACTGAGCACACATGCCTGGTAGATCCTTAGTTTTGTTCTTTCAGTCAGTTTAGAATTGTTCCACACACACTTATTTAATCCAATATTGGTTGATGCTGCTTTTGGATTCCTCATGTGCACCTTTTCACAATGGAGATATTAGACCCAAGATATGTGAAATGTTCAACAAATGCCAGGTCATATCTCTCAATAGTTATTTCTGAAGGAGAGAGTTTATTGGGCCCTGAAATTTGTTAACTTTAAACTGATGGTCGTTCCAAACTCCTTTGAGGCCTTGGTGAGGCGATCTACTAATTGTGTAAAAATTGCAGTAAATATTTTTTTCTAAATTTAAGTTTATTTCGTCAAATGAGATTCACAAACAAAAATGTGTTTAAAAGGAATATCTTTCATTTGTTACTGAATTGTTTCAAAATTATTATTTTTGGTCTTACTGTGTTGAAAAAAAAATGGGGTAAAAATTACAGACACAATTTGAAAGGTGTTTTAGATATATACGATAAGATACTTTTATTGATCCAAAGAAATGAATATATGTTTTGATTACATTGTACTAATTCTTCATGTTCAGCATGTTAAGATCACGAAATAAAAAAACTTTGGACTCAAAACAACGCAATAATTGTTTTTTATTAGGCCTATTCATTTTAAAGTTTAATTGCTTTTTACCTTAATTATGTACTTTTTGCAGAAATAATTGGCCACTGCTTACATTAGCCAGAAATTGTAAAAAAAACAAAAAAACAACAACTCTAATGTCAAAAATGGTGAATTGTATTCTTTAACAAATTCTTAAGATATTATTTCATTTGCCATACTTCTAAAAAATTGAATTGGGTATTTGAAGACCCTATTGCTAAAAGTAATTAAGTCACATTTTTGTAAAAAGAAATCTAAACTGTGACCTTTTCTTGTCTGGCTTAGCCAAGTGTACTGCAGAAATTTGAACACATTAAATGTCCCTAAGGCCCTGAATTAAACTAGACAAAATATGAAAATGATCACATTTTATAGACGAAAAGAATATTTGAACTTGATTATCTCAAACAATTTAAGTTTACAAATATCTTTTTTTTTTCTGTAAAAAAAGAAAGATTTTAAAAAATAAATAAATAGATGGTATTCAGAGCATGGCTCTGCTGTGAACAGGGATTTAGAGTATTAGCTTTAAATGCTTTAATTTTTTTAATTTTTTTTTTTCTATAGATGTTTTAAACACACCTTTATTTAAAGAAGGTTATGGGTATTATATGGTTATAGGAATTTCAATGTAATCTGATGGACATTATGTACTAAAACCCTCCACCCGAGGTCATGAATAAGTGTTATCCTGTTGAAGTGAGTTGGGACTTTGATAAGCAGAGGTCAAGTAATCACTTTGATTAAAACTAAGTGCATAGATGATAATCTGGTTATGGGGGAACAGGTAAAAGGAGGCACCTGTGGTTAAGCCCTAACGCTTATCTTATTGTTAACTTTAGGGTAAGAAATTAACCACCAGTAATGTACACAGAATTAAAGTTCATTTTGATCAGGTCTGGTCTGGTCTCCATCTGAAATTGTCATTTTGTTGTTTAAGAATTCAAGTACATATTAAATTTTGTTGCTTAATATTCTTTGTTCACTTTTATATTATTCAAATTTTGACTTTTTTTCAGAATCGTCTCTTTATTTATACCTTAATGCAATAGAAGTGCCAACCTAAATGTTAAATAAATTAAAATCCAAGGAAAGTAAGAATAGCTATTGATTATTGCTGTCTCAGTGTTTCTTCAGTTTTATTTGTCAACTGAGACTGGTTTGAACACCTTTATTGTTGAGCAAGCTGTATTTTAAATGGTGATGCAACAATGTGTAATCAATTGCTTCATATAACCTTGTTGGAGTCTCTATGTGTAACTATAACATTCTACTGTTAAGAAATATGCTGTGCAAAATAAATTAAAGCAATAAAAGTGAGGTGTCTAAAAAACTAGTATTTATGTTTGTGGTAAATTTAAAAATATAAAAATTTTACTCTTCTATTTCTGTTTGATCATACTTCATGATTATATTTCAGGTACAGTATTAATTTATTAATAAAACATATTTTTGCTAAAAGACGTTTTAAAATTGCAAAATAGTTAAAGAAATATATTTCATAGCTTAAAAATTAGTATTTCTCTGTTGTTGTTTTTTCGTTTTTATTTTCTATAAATTTTTAAATGGAAATCTTTACGGAATTTTTGTGTGGGTAATTTTTGCAAATAAAATCTGGCTACTCAATAAGGATCTCAAGTTTATTACATCATTGTCTTCATTGATATTAATATTTTTTAGAAAAGATTTTAAAAATTGATTTATAATTCTATATAAGATTGTTACACTTCATGCTTATCTTACATTTTTTTTTATGTTTTTGTTTTGGTCTGTAAAAAAAGTTTAGATCAACAAATTAGCATAATTTTAAATGACCTTTGGACTATGCAGCACTTAAAGATAAACAGCCATCAGGTTGATAAAATTAAGGTATATGAAAAGTGACACCTCAGCTTTATATTTATGGTACTTGAATCATATTGTATCATTTCAAATTAAAATTATATTCTCACTTTTAAAGATGGCCATTAAAGTCATACATATTGTACATTTTCATATTTATTTATAATTTTTACTGTTTGAATATCTATTGGTACAAGATAGTGGTGAAAATTCTAGTTATTGATTTTTATTTAGCAGAAGTAGCTTAGGTGACTTTGTTTTATTTCCTAGTTCTCAATAACCTGTGAGTTAAAAAGAGTTACAGTTCAGGGGGAAAATGTTAAGCCGCAGAGCAGCCATCTATCTCCAGAACTTCACCAAACCTAGGTTTACTTATGCATTCTGGGTTTCAAAAAGACAAAAAACAACACAAATAATTGATCAGGATGATTTGCCAGCAACTAGTGCCGCCCTTCTGAGAAGTGATTTAAATAGGGTAATTAGGATTTTATTATTTCATTTTTAATACTCATTTTTTTAATGTCATAGGTCATTTTCAGCAATACACTATCATTGTAATCTGGGATTAATATTCCCTTATATTATTTATTAAGAGTCCACAAATTATTTTTAATTATACAAAACAAATCAGGATTAGTAATAATTCCAAAAGAAATCTAAACTAAATTTAAATTCCATTTTATTTTCTATACAGGTGAAAAGAATAGTGATCAAGTTAGGAAGTGCTGTTATCACCCGGGAAGATGAATGTGGATTGTCTCTGGGAAGATTGGGATCAATTGTTGAGCAGGTTAAGTTTTTAAAAAAATAATGTTAATGTTATCTGCTAAGAATAAACCCACATTCTATGAAATGATCTCCAAGATCATCCTTTGAATAATTTAAAATTGTTTAAAAATCAACTTGATAGAAATCCATAACTTTTAAAATGTTTTTGAACATTTAGACTTCTGCAGAAGTCTGTTGAATCCAAACAAAATAATTTAACAATAGCCAAGAAATGTTCTGTTGATAAAAATTGTATCAATGTAGGTGGCTGAGCTACAAAACCAGGGAAGGGAAATGATTATTGTAACAAGTGGAGCCGTGGCTTTTGGCAAACAAAAGCTCCGCCAGGAAGCTGTTTTATCTATGAGTATGAGGCAGAATTTAAATAATGTTGAAAGTGGGGTAAGCAAACTTATCTTCGTTTTTTATATTACTCTGTATCAATTTATTTTATTTTTAATGTACTTGCAACTTTCTTGCACTTCTAGTTATATTGGAAAACAAGTAATACTTTTGTTTCTCAAGCTTTGAGGTAAAAATCAGCATACCTGGTTTTGCATTTTATACAGTGCTTTTATTACTGATAGTAATAGATACCATAATTGTACATTTTTTAAAAGGAGCAACTTTTCGAATAACTAAAAGATTATAGATTGTGAGTTCTTACTTGATCAATAGTTACACTATTGGTTAAACTGCTATTCTTTTGACTTATTTATTATAAATTCTGTATCACAATTCTGAAATAAATTCTTCATACTTAAAAAATATTCCATGTTAAACCTAGGATATTTTTTACTGATTAGAATAAAGCCATCTGTTTTTAAGCATGCAGTCTTTAGCTATTTTGTATTGTGCACAGGTAAGCCAATTACTATAAGGTAAAATGGTAAAGTCTTGCTTATTAGATATTTTGAGAGTATCTAATTATAGTTTAAAATAAATGTATTTATTGAACAGTATAAAAACTATTGCTTGTGAGAAGTATTTTTTTTTTTTAAGGCGCTGGTATTTTCTGTTATTCCTCACTCCATCATCACTTATATTTTGGCTATCTGAGATTTATCTTAAATTGATCAACATTTTCATTTTTATTGATCTAGTAAAAGAATAGCATAATTTGAATCTCTATGTAAGAAGATGCTAGCTGGAATTGAAATTGGTAGCAAGAAATTAACTGTAAATATAGTAAAATGCTTGCAAGATCATAATTATATTGTTGTTTTTAAATGTTAGGAGTATTGGCATTAAAATCCTGGTTTTAAATTTCTTATGGTTCACCATCTATTTGACTATTTGTGCCCCTTTGAAAGCTGTGGCTATATTCTCAACAGACCAATTCTATGACAGCAGCTCAGGTAAAAGATAGAGAGACAAAAATGCAGTACTAATGCCACTAGCACATAGAACACTTTATTTTGTAGCTATCCTGTGCAGATAAAACTTTATAGTGCTACTTGTTGCATGCACAACTGAAGTTTTTTGCTGAGCAAATACATTTCCTTCTGGTATTTTGTCATCACACAATTGTTGTTGCTTATTATAAACTGCTTTTTGAAATAAGAATATATTTATTTGTCTTTTGTTGAATTGAAAAATAATGTTTAAAGTTGACAACAATTAGTATAGTTACACTATTGCAGATGAGGCTTAGAGAGAAGATAAAGGGAAAGGCAAGGCAAAGCTTTTCTTTTCCCATTAATTGCTTTTTGTTTTATTTTGATTTTCTAGTGCCAAATTTTATCTTTTTACAATGTTTAGTAGTGCCCATGTTTTGTTACCAATCCCTCACTATTCCTCAGTTTTTTTTTTCATAAGGTTTGCTAAAGGTATATCTTTTCTTATTAAAATAAACAGCAAAGTGCTTGGAGTAAGGTAATTATACTAATGGCAATGTAGCCATCTTCTCACATAGCATGTATTGCATTTTATGAAATTATCAAAAAAGGTTGTTGTTTTAAAAGCTTTTTCAGATAGCAGATAAACGTAGCTTAACATTAGAATAAAAGAAAACACAACTTCTTCAATGCACACACACTCTTGTATTTGTTTGGTAGAGTATTAGTCATAGAAAAGATAAAAAAAAGAATATTTAAAATACAGTATATGTGTATTCGTGTTTGTTTGGAATGTTGCCCTCATATCTGCACCATTGGTAATGCTTGATTTCTTTTACCTAGTGTCAATTAGAACTAATAAATACAACAGAAAGGGTTCTATAAATTGATCATGTTCCTGTCAAACAATTTCATATCTGTTAAATAGGTATATCTAGCTGTCCTAAGTGCAGAGAAATGGTCTTAGATGTTTTCCAGTGAAAGAAATTTCCTTTTAATAAGTTTTTGTCTTTGGAAGAACCCTTTTTGTAATTAGAAACAATGAGATCAAGAGCTTGATACTAACATGGGTTTTATGAATGGACATTTTTTTGTTATAGCTTAGTTAGAGATGATATTAGTTTGGCATGCTTTAAAGTTGTTTACACTTATTTATTTCTTATCTGGTTATCCTACTTTTATTTCTGGAGTACCCTCTTTAGGAGTTTTGGGGACAGAGATCTCTGTCTTCAGATTTAAGTTTTCTTATCACTATCATATTGGGTCTCCGTGGGAACTTGGTATTTAAATAACTAGTATTTTAATAGATATTTAAAGCTAAACTCATGCTATACAATAAAAAAAAATTTACCATGCTCATTCCTTTTATGAGAAGGCTTAAGAAACATTAATAATCAATATTTTGGAAGAATGTTCATTGATTTCAATGTTAGTATGAACACTTGGACTATCCTCATACTTTGAATGAAATGCTGAGAAGTGTTTCAGTTTAGATATGTATTAGGTTTTAAATATTTTATACGAAAGTCTTTTTTTTTTATCCTTGATCACTATAAAAATTAAATTATCAGTATTATTAAACATGTTTTGGAAGTGATCTGTAGTTATGGAACTCTTAGCCCCAAAACCATAACCACAAGTTAGTAGGTTTCTCAACCATAACCACAAGTTAGTAGGTTTCTCAACCATAACTAAATGAAACAGCTTGAACATATGAATTAGGAGATACTTTTGAAAACTTGATGGTGTTTGCATAATATATATTACAATTTGTGGCTTGTATCTATTTATGTCAATTACTGTAGAGTCTGCTTTACAGTTTTCTATGAGTGGTTTGTGAACTATCCTCTCTGGTAATAGCATTTTTTATAATAAATACATTCCAATTCATTATTCTATGTAATAATAATAATCGATAATATTTAAACAGATATACAAGGCTAAGTATACAAAAAAACATATCACTAAGAGTCACCAAGCCTTCAGATTATAGTAATAAAAATAATTCAATACAATGAGCAACAGATGTGTTTCTCTCTTTTAAGTATTGATTTAATTTTATTTTCAGACAAGAGATTTAATCAAATGGCCTAGATACTAGATACAGTAAAAGAAATATAATTGATAAAACTAAGAAAGTATATAACTTATTAAATTCATAATTTAATTATATTCAATTCATATACTTAATGTATCACTATGAAACTCCATCGCAGCTCTTTCAATCAATCACTTGCTTAGTTGTTCGTTTTTTTTTTACATTTCGAGCTCTTCACTTCTTTAATTTGTATTGGGAAAGGTCTATTAAAAATATCACTCTTTCTCATTTCAAGAAATGATTTTTCCAAAGGTTATTAAAAAAAAAAAAACATTAAGAAATTTACAATTATAAATCCATTTATTTTTTTTTTGTTCATTTAAATAGTTTTTTGTTTTTTTTTTACATTTCGAGATCTTCACTTCTTTAATTTGTTTTGGGAAAGGTTTATTAAAAATATCACTCTTTTTCATTTCAAAAAATGATTTTTCCAAAGGTTATTAAAAAAAAAAAAACATTAAGAAATTTACAATTATAAATCCATTTATTTTTTTTTTGGTCATTTAAATTGCCTAATAGGACATTTAACAATTTTTACAAAATTATTTCTAAAGAGAGTTGTGAAAAACATCAGGATTCCTGAAATATGAGAATGCAATCAAAATATCTTAGATCTATATAAATTTAATGTTTTTAGAAAGTCTTTCTATGTTGTTTTTAATTGATGTGCATTACATTTTTTAAAAATCTCTGGCTGTTGAAAGATATTCTTGAAGGATTTGGTACTATTCAAAGACACCTTAATGGACATAGGTTTATGAACATGTTTACTTTGTTCAAAATTTTCCTTGCTCAAATTTTGTTTTGTTTTTCTGTTCTTTTAAAAGTATTTTTTTTCAGTGTGTTTTGTTAAAATTTGGAATTATAGTTATAGAAAAGAACTGCTACTGTTTAAATTTGATAATGCTACCATTTCCACTCAATTTAGTAAATTTTGTTACCCTGTTGAGTTCTTTATAAGTGTGAACAAAGCACAATGTGAGTAATAAAATAAGGGAATCTAAAAAAACAAATTAACAGTTATTGGTTACATATTTTTAAAAGTTCTATAAAAACATTTATTACACAGATCCGTCCACCCTCTTTAGAACCACGAGCTTGTGCAGCCGCTGGACAAAGTGGTCTGATGTCTCTTTATGATGCAATGTTCCATCAATATGGTGTCAAGACTGCACAGGTATTATCTGTTCATTAAAATAATCTTAATATTGTCAATAATTTAAAACCATTTTCTTTTTTAAAGTTAAAAACAAATTGATACTGCATTATTTTGAACATTTATATTTTATTCTCCTCAAAATAAATTTTTAATTTATTTTTTTTTAAACAGATCCTTTTGACGAAACCAGACTTTCAAGATGAGCATAGTCGAGAGAATCTCAGAGGAACAATTAATGAACTGTTAAAACTTAACATCATTCCCATTGTAAATGCTAATGATGCAGTTGCTCCCCCCCCAGAACCTGATATGGATTTAGCTGGAGTAAGTGTGTGAAACATTTATGTGCACGTTTCATTTCAATAATTGGAAAACATTATCCATGGATAAATTTGTTCTCTCCCTTTTCTGTAAATCTTCTCTTTCTCTCTCTCTCTCTCTCTCTCTCAACTGCTTTTAATTAAAACACTGCCTTTTTGTTGGTATCATTCAAATAGATTACTCTGAGAAAGTAATTTTTATAGGAATTGTTGAATCTAATTCCTTATAATTTCTAATGTACTTTTTTGAGTATTATAAAGAAACAGCTACTTAGTGAATACAAAATATAGAAGTCCCAATCTTGCGTTATTAAATATTTGTTTGTCATCAAGGTGATCAGTGTGAAGGACAATGATAGTCTTGCTGCCAGATTGGCATCAGAAATGCATGCTGAACTTTTGATCATTATGAGTGATGTGAATGGGCTCTACACAGCTCCTCCAGGAATGCCAGAGTCCAGACTTTTGCACACATACTGTCCTGAAATGGATCAAGTAATAATTGCAGGCAAATCAAGAGTTGGTACAGGAGGCATGGATTCAAAGGTCAAAATTAATGCTATTTTGGCTGTTTGTGAGCATTCAGATGTTCTTCCAACAGTTAAATTGAATCAGATTTAATTTTGCAAGTTAATAAAATATATATATATAAAAGTGAAAGTTTGTGGGTTTGTGTGTTTGTTCCACAAAGGCTTTTACATGGATTGATGTATCTTGACCAAACTTGGCACAAAAATCCATCATTATCCAGAAGAAACTTTTAGGGGTTATGAACTTTTTATAACATTTCGTTTGGGGCCGGGGGCCCAATATGTCTTTTTTTCCTATATGAGCTATATAAATAAAATTACTAAAAAATACTCTTACAATGGACGGATCTTAACCAAACTTAGAACGCTTACACTTGATTATCTACCTTCAAATACCGAAAGGGTACTGAACTCATAATGTCCGTTCCTAGGGGGCCGGGGGCCCCATTTCATTTTTCTTTATATAAGCTTATAAATATCAATAGGCTTAGACAACACTAAAGGTTCTATGTAAATTGATCAATATAAGCATAGCATAGTAGCCATAGGCCTACACTTCATCGTCCATATTGAAATATCGGTGGATTTAAAACAGAACATCCAATCCATGCAGGGACGATCTAGAATTTTCTAGAAAGTTCGATAGTTTAAAAGGTGATATCTATGGCATTTTTAAACTCATTCTAATGGGACAAATTTTAACTCTATTATTTACTTGAATGATTTTGATTTAGCCCCCCCCCCCCCCCCCCCCCCCCACCCCCCCCCCCCCTTCTCAGAAATAACTAAATTGGTACAGTTATGGAATGGGGCCCCTTGATTACCGGTACAGTAACATAAAAGAAAAAGGATTATAATTATGGCATTTGTTGAAGATTTGTATCGGATTCAAAAAATAATTAGAAAAGTAGTTTTTACACATGTTTCGAGCAGGCTATTAAATTTAGTTTAGAATGTTCCTGAAAGTTCTAAATTGTTACAAGGGAATATACAGTGGGATCTAAGGTATTATTGAAATTCGGGATCAGGATTCTACCAGAAAATGGGATCCCATCGGGATCCTAACCTTGAAGGATCCATCGGGATCACACCGGGAAATGGTCTTTGAAAATTATAAATTCAGAACTATTTTCCATGTTTCTATTATATGCGTTTTAAAAACTTGTATTCAAATTTGTGAATATATCTATAGGTCAAAGCTGCAACTTACGCTCTTGCAAGAAATTGTTCTGTTGTTATATGTAATGGTTGTGAAGAGCATGCCATCATCAACATTGTCAAAGGGAAAAAAGTTGGGACATTCTTTACAAGAGCCCAGTCTAGGGGAACACCCATTGAGCTCCAAGCTAAATTAGGTGTGTTTGTTGTTTCTATAGATCTCTTTTCAAACATTTAAACATTTATTTTTATTTTTTTACGTTATACAAATTATGTGTAGAAAATAGCTTGAGAAATAAGATAATTTTGGTGATTTTATGTTACCAGTTACAAAAATTCTATCATCCATTTAAAAAATAATGCTTTGAAAATGATCTTTGCAGAACAGTAATTTGATGAAAATGACTTTAGATCTTACAGCTATATTATTCTGTTTTCACATATGGAGATTTTTTAGAAAACATTCTATTGCAGTAATATTTTAATGTTGTTTTATTTTTTAAAGGAAAAATGTTATTACAAAATTTCTTTGGCAGAGGGCATAAAAGATTAATTGAAGATCTTAAAATAAAGTGGGATTTTTTTAGCTTTTTAAAATCACTGTTGTTTTGTTGTTTTTTTTATACGCGGTTAAAAAAAAAAAAAATTCCCAGTTGCTATTTCATTGAAAAATGGATCCACCTTGACACATTCAAAAAAAGATCTTATTTGATATGGAAATTACCATGGTTATTCTTAAATTAAATTTATGGTTAGGATTTATAAAATTGCCAAAACTGTACTCAACAATCTTCTGTATCCAGCACGTGATGGAAGTAGAAGCTTGCAAGCCTTATCAGGCCAACATCGCACAGCCATAGTGAACAGACTAGCTGATTTGTTATTGGAGCGCAAGTCTGACATTTTAGCTGCTAATCAACAAGATGTTCAGGAGGCGTTTTCAACAGGTAATGAAATTCATTAATTTTTAAATTTTGTTTAACCCTTTACAGTCCAATGCACCGATTTTTTCCTTAAGCCTACAGTCCGTTGCGGCCAAACCCGCCCGCTTCGAGGTTGTTTACTTTCAATCTTAGGACAGCGGAAATCCATTGCGCATTTCTATTTATAGTTCTACCCAAAGAAAGCCTCGTTGTTGGCATTTATTTTGATACTAATTTGACCGCTGTGTGTTTTTCTACAATTTTTTTTATGTTGCGATTTTTGCTGTAAAAAATGGCTTTTCAAGCCTTGGATACAATTTTGAAAGAACTTAGGCCTAAGGAAGCTTCACTATTCCATAAATCTAGCAGCGATAGTGAAGAATCTGATAGAGACATTAATTTAAATGATGCTATTAATAATAGTGATTCAGGTGAAGAAGATAATAGTAATAATAGAGACATTGATGACAACGGACCTATCAATTCCACTCCAACTGATCAGCAAGATCATGAGTGGTCTGGGAATTTTTCTCAAATCAAAGTGGGAGGGTCCCCGAAACTGTTTTTTTGGTGCAACTTTTGCTTTAATCATTTCTTTGTATTTAGGTATTTTTCATTTTCTTTTCTTGCTTATTTTCTGTAAATTAGTTAGAAACAGAACCTTCATTTAAAATGGAGTTATGTCCCTTTGCTTGGTCGCTGGGCGTAGACAAGGCTGAATAGGCTTGGACTGTAAAGGGTTAATGTATGCTTATTTTATTGTACTCTTATTAAAGAAATTACGCAGATTTTTTAAAGAAAATATTTCACCAATCATTCTCAAACCATGGTACATTGTTCCAGGTGATTCATTGATGTGTAACAAAAACAGTAAAGATTTCTAATCTATTCGCAAAATATGCACATTCTAATACATGAATTTTTAGCAGATTATTTAACTATTACGATATTCCAAAATGTCTGTTTTACGCAATATGCTAATTTGCTGATTTTTAAAATTGTCTTTTGTAGTTCTAAATTTAAGTGTTTGTTTTATAGCATTCCTACATGTGTACTTTGAAATTTTGTAATGGTTTCTTTACACAATCAGTATCTGCTCAAGAATACAGCTCTGGTATCTGCCTACTGTGTGGTTTTTGCTTGCAGAATTTGTCAAAAATTGTGTGCACTTTTTTATAAACTGTCAAGCTTTCTCTTTACTAAAGTAATTTGTTTAATGAAACTAAAATTAACTCCTAAAAGGTGACCTGCTATTTATATGAGTTACATTAAAAAAATCTTGCGTGGCATCGAAATCCCATGTTTTTTACCATTACAATGGTATGAAATAATCTGTCATATCACTAATACTACTTAGATATGTAATCATCTCAGAGATCATCTAACATCATACAACAGTTATCAGTGGCTTAGCAATAATTAGATTGTTTGTGAAACACTTGATGGTGTTTAGCATAGATCTATTTGGATAGAAGCATAAGCACTTTACATTAGTCACTTGTTTGAAGGCAACATTGTTTTTCTTTTCTTGATGATTTGAAAAGGTTATTTGATCCCTTGCATTGTGTTATCTTTAAAAAAAGAATTGTTGTATGTTCAAAGGGCGTGTGTGTAATGATGTGTTTTTTTCTCCATTATTCTTGTGCATGTATACAGATTGCTGTTAGAGATACATGGCAGTGATAAACTTCAGTGAGGTTTAGATTATTTTCATTCTGGATTCCATTTATTGTTCAGTTAATTGTTTTTTTATTCAATTTTTTTATTTATTTGTGTGTGTGTTAGTAATGTGAATGCATTGGAATGAAAAATCATATGTATTAATCTAAAATAAACCATTGCATTAATTAAAGTACAATTCTTGTTGTAACAAACTTGAGCCTCAACTAAAAACTTGGAGAGTTGTTTCTTAAATTTTTTGTACATATATACATTTTAATTTAATTGTGGAAATAAATTAGTTAAACTGATCACTTTTATGGGTCCTGGTGGTGGGTCTGGTTTAAGTGTATCTTATGCTGAAAGAAACAGATTCAAGTCTTTTTCTAGCTATTTCTAATTTCTTTAAGAGTGAAGATTCAAAATTAAAATCACTCTAAAGTCAGATATTGAAAAATGGGGAAAATTCTTTATTTTAGATCCTGAGACAAACAGCCTCAACATATTTTGGTCTCTTCTTGAAATGAATGCAGAACAATTTTACTTATTCCTTTAAAATTTTTCCCCCATAGGAATGCAGCAGTCAGAGATGGCCCGCCTATATCTCAGTGAACAGAAACTGGAAACTCTGGCAACTGGACTACGGCAGATAGGAGTTGACTCCCTTAATGCATTAGGAAAAGTTGTTCAGAAAACACGCCTGGCTGAAGATTTGGAGCTGGAGAAGATCACTGTGCCTATTGGTGTTTTGCTTGTTATTTTTGAGTCCCGCCCAGATGCACTGCCGCAGGTGATTATAATAACTCATTGTTTTGGGGTTAATCTGGTAGAAAGAAAAATTAAATGCAAATTGTTTTTTTTTTTTTAATTTAAATTTTACTGCAAAGTTTAAGAATTTTTATTTTTAGGTTGCAGCTCTTTCGATTTGTAGCGGCAACGGTCTTTTACTGAAAGGGGGCAAAGAAGCCAAGCACAGCAACAGAATTCTATTTTCTTTGGTCCAAGAAGCTTTGGAACCATTTGCTCCAGTTGATACAGTTGCCCTTGTGAGTAATTTTATAAAAGCCTTAAAATAGTTTAATTTAATATAACATTTATAAATGCCACCGAAGATATGGAAGGTGAGGAAAAAGAATCCTTTAATGAGACACTTGAAAAGATTTACCAAGAGGCACCACGACATATTAAAATAGTGATTGAGGATTTTAATGCCAAAATAGGAAAAGAAAAATTGTTCATGCCAACTTTTGGCAAAGAAAGTCTGCATGAAGAATCTAATAACAATAGGATGCGACTCATAGACTTTGCTTCAGGAAAAGGGATGTCAACAGCACCAAGTTTCATCTCACAAAAATACATAAAGTTACTTGGAACTCACCAGATGGAATAACCTGCAACCAACTTGACCATGCTCTAATCAATCAGAGGCCTGGATCAGATATACTAGATGTAAGAAGCTATCAAGGAGCAGATGCAGACTCTGACCATCTACTTTTAAAGTTTAAATATAAGCAGAGAATAAGCATAATTCACAATGGCCAAAATCAGAGAGAAAAACGATATGATTACCAAAAACTTACCAAAGACCCACTTACTGCAAAAGCTTACCAAAATGAAGTAGAAGCCCAACTAGAAGCATCACATGAGGAAATAAACAGTGAAAACAACATAAATGAACAGTGGGATAGGATAAATAATGCTATGAAAAGATCAGTAGAAAAAGTAGTAGGATTCCAGCAAACTAACAATAAAGTAGGCTTGTTTGATAATGAATGCAGAGAGTCTGTCGAAGAAAGGAACAAAGCACTAATGACCATGCTACAAAGGGAAATCAGAAAGACAAGACAAACATATAAGGAAGCCAGAAGGAAAGCCACAAAAATGTGTAGGAAGAAAAAGAAGGAATGGGAAACAGCTAAGCTAAAAGAAATAGAAGACTTACCAAGAGAGGGAAACATCAGAGAAATGTACATGAAGATAAAAGATGAAAAGAATGGATACCAAGCCAGACCGCAAATGTGTGAGAGCCAGGATGGAGAATTAATTATGGAAAATAGTATAGTAAAGTACTGGAGAATATTTTGAGGACATACTAAATGCAGACAATAGACAAGATATAGATATCAACCACCACATGGAAGACCAGACCCTTTAACTGATTAACTACCAGATTGAAAAAACCTGCTGTGGCCGATTTAAATCTAGGTCACATTTTCTCATTTTAGGTATTTGTACAAATTCAGCTGCAGTTTTATTAATTATAAACATATTCTAATGATTAATAAATCATTTTGTAGGTAATTAAATTGTCTATAAGATAAACTTAAAATATTTGTAAAGTTATGTTTTGTAAGGATATTATTAATTGTAACTTTAGTATTTACAACAGAAAAACAATTTTTTTAAATATATCAATGTGCTAACTTACGTATAAATTTTTAATTTCTAAATCATTTAAAGTCTTTTATTTGGTGGTTTCCAAATAGTATATCCAATAATAAGAAAAATGCTCCAAAGAACACAGAAATTGAATAATATTTACACTTCCAATTACTTTTATGTCTCTTTAGTAACCATGTAACTAGTTGCCATGATAAACAAGTAGTACAATATTGTAACTGGCATGGAAATTAAATCAAAATTAATTAGCAGCCCATTTTTTAAAACATTCCGCAGATAGCATGCGGTTCGAATATAAACATCCTGTCTGTAAATAAAACTCTCAAAGCAAAACAGCAACGGAAAAATATAAATATTTGACTCGATTTACTACGATACAAACATTGGCGCTACCAACGGCTCGTGGCCATAGCGAAAGAAACTCTGAGCCGCTCCCACCAGCTCATGGTAGTTAACCGGTTAATAACCTCCCCAACTCTAGAAGAAACTATAGAAGTAATCAATTAAATGAAAAACCACATAGCCCCGAGAGAAGACCTCATAACAGCAAAACTTATTAAATATGGAGGAAAAGAGCTACACAATCAGACACATAAACTTATAACAAAAATTTGACAAGAAGAGAAAATTCCAACAGAATGGGAAACAGCATTAATAACCCAATACACAAGAAAAGCTCCAAACTTCAGAGGAATTTCCCTATTACATGTTGCATACATAATACTGAAAAAACTAATTACCAAAAGACTAAAATCGTACACTGAAGAAATACTAGGTGACTACCAATGTCAATTCAGACAAAACAAATCAATGATTGATCAGATTATTGCCATCAGATGCCTATCTATTAGAGAAATGTTACGAATATAATAATCCCAGTACATCCACTCTATGTGGACTATAAAATGTCTTATGACAGCATCAAAATAAAATGCCTATATGAGACTCTGCAGTGGTTTGAAATGCCCAACAATTTGACAAGACTGATACACGTAACATTAAACAACTCAAGAAGCAAAATCAAGGTTCACCCAAGATCCACAACCAATGGGCACTCTCTACAATCAACCCCTTCAGTATCTTGCATATGCTGATGACATTGCACTGTTAGGGAAAAGTAGTAAAGACATCAAAATCATTTATTGAATTAGAACAGGGGTCACCAAACTACTGGCCGGAACCAGCACCGGCCCGCTACATTAGTTCATCAGGCCCGCCGACGGTACTTCAATTTGTTTGATAAAACATATGGAACACGAGACGTTGTGATACATTTTAAATTTAAGTATTATGTTTAGAATTAGAATACTAGGAGTATTTGTTCTAGCTTGCTAGTATTATACAGAATGATTATGCGGCCTGTGCTGGTCATTTTGTCAGTTATTCAGTCCATTGTGAAAAAAGTTTGGTGACCCCTGAATTAGAAGATGCATCACTACAAGCAGGACTGGAAGTTAACCAAAAGACAAAATTCATGACTTGATAAGAAAGGCAGATGAAGCCATTAAAATTAGAAACCAGACTTTTGAAAAAGTGAATCAATTCAAATGCCTAGGATCTTTAATAAATGAAAGAAACAAATAACTAACAAAGATGAGAGAAAGAATATATTACAGGGGATACTTCAGTAGTCAGAAAATAATAAAAAATAAAAACATTACAAGAAAAACAAAGAATACTTTTTATAACACTGTCATTAGTCCAATTGTAACATTTGCAAGTAAAACTTGGACCTAAACAAAAACGGCAGAAAACCTATTAAGCAAAAGGGAGAGAATAGTTATCCGGAAAATATATGGACCAACAAAGGATGAATATGGATGGAAAATACAAACCGAGGAATTGTACAGTCTATATCAGGATCCCATGCTAGAAGCAGGAATAAAAAACAGGTAAGGCACTTAGAAATAATGCCAATTGACAGAGGAGGAAAATGGCTCAAAGGCAAACCTAAGCTTAGATGGATGGATGATGTGGAAAAAGATCTACAGCAGCTGAGAATTCAAGCATGGAAAAGAAATGCATTAGTTAGGTCTGTGTTGAAGGAAGTAGTGAGGCATGCCAAAGCCGTATATGGGCTGTAGGGCCACAGGGATCTTCTCTTATGCCTTTTTACCCCGTCTGGGACATAGGCCGCCCACAAAAATGTTCCAGTCATCACACTCCAGTGCTTTCCTTTCCAATTGCTTCCAGGTGTATCCCATATTTTGCATTTCTGTTTCTAGCTCGCGCCTCTATGTATGATTAGGCCTTCCTCTCTTTCTTTTTCCCTGTTAGGCATTGTCTGGTGATGCTATCTGGGGTTTTTGGAGAGTATACTCTATCCACCTCCATCCTTTCTTTATGATGTCTTCATCAATGGAACCTGGTGTATCATTTCTGGCAGATCTTTTTTGGTGATAGTATTTGGCTATTTGATGTTCAGGATCTTTCTAAGGCATATGTTTATGAAGGTCTACACTTTATGCGTAATGCTCGTTGTTGTTTTCCAAGTTTCTGCTCCATGTAGTAGGACTGTTCTTGACATTTGTGTTAAAGATTCTGACTTTGAATCCAATATTTTCTTTAATAGCACAAATGCTGATCTAGCTTTTCCAATTCTAGCCCTTATGTCTGCATCAGATCCGATGCCACAGAGATAGATTGCATAAAATAGTTGGTTTACATTAGTAATGAATGATGAGTTAATGAATCACTATTACATTGCAGAATTATTTACTTACCTGAGTTGAGCTGTTGTTGAAAACCTCATTTGCATATTTTGTGTACTTATATCATGTTTTTTCCTTAATTATTTTTTTTTAGGTCAGTCGGAGAGAAGATATTGCAGATCTCCTACAACTTAACCAATATATTGATTTGGTTGTTCCCCGAGGTTCTCAAGATTTGGTTAATCGCATTCAGCAATTGTCTCAAGGAATCCCAGTGCTTGGTCACAGTGAAGGCATTTGCCATGTCTTTGTTGACCAGGATGTAGACCCAGAAATGGCCTTGCAAATTGGTAAGTCGTACAATTGTCAAGGTCATTTTTGTAATATTGAAACTTAAAAAAGAATTATAATTATTTTTCCTTGTAACAGAGTGTTAAAGCTTTAATTTGATATTTGCCTAATGCCAACTCTTTCAAAAAATAAATTTTCTATGGTTGTCTTGATGGTCTTCTCATAATGCATTACTCACACAAATATTGAAACAAAAGAGTTTTATTTTAATTTACTAATGTAAGGCCAGTGTAGTATAGGTCTGGAAAAAATTGGGGATGACTGGTGTAGAAGATGTGGATAAGTAGAGTTATATATGACGAGAGAGAGTTGGGTAGATCAGGTTGAGGGCGTGTGAGTGAGGAGGGGTTGGAGTTGACAATGGTGTGATGAGGCAGAGAAGGGGGTGAGACCTTGGGAGATGCAGGGAGGGTGGGGGGAGTGAGGACAGACTGTCATCGTATCATATATAAAAGTGAAAGTTTGTTTGTGGATTTGTTTCACATACATTTTTACATGGATTGATGGATCTTGACCAAACTTGGCACATATATTCATCAAGAACTCTAAGGGGTTATGAACTTTTTATAACATTCCGTTTGAGGCCTGGGGCCGATTTTTTTTTTTCTTATATGAGCTATATAAATAAAATTGACAACGAATACTCCTACACGAATAGATGGATCTTGACCAAACTTAGTACACATACACTTGATTAGCTATATTCAAATACTGAAGGGTACTGAACTCATAATATCCAAATATCCATCCCTCTGGGCCGGGGGCCGATTTCATTTTCCTTACATAAGCTTTATTAATATTAATAGGCCTAAGCAACACTATAGGTTCTATATGAATTTATGAATATCGGCCTAGCTTGGTAGCAATACACTTCCATACTGAAATATCGGTGGATTTAAAATGAATATTATCCAATCCATTCAGGCCCAGGGAGACTTTTCCAGAAAGTTCCATAATTTAAAAAAGCTATATCTATGGTAATTTTCAACTGATTTTAATGTGAAAACTTTAACATTTTAACTTTATTATTTATCTGACTGATTTTTATAGGGTTAACAAATTCGGTACAATTATGGAATCAGCCCACGCAGTGTTCCCTCTTTCAAATTAATTGTACTATAGTTATAGTAATGAATTTAGTTGTAGAATTTTTCTTATTAAAAAAATAATAACTTAGAAAAGTCATTTTTTACACCTTTTGAGGAGGAGATTAATTTTAATCTAGAATGTTCAAGAAAGTTCTATATTGTTTAGTTTTATACTTTCATGGGTATTTTCTTTAAACAGACCCTTCATAATCCTACCGGGAACAAAATCCCAATAGGAACATGATCCCAATGAGGAAGATGATCCTAAAGTTGAATGAGTAAACAGGAACCCACCGGTAACACGATCCCATCGAGTGATAGATCAAATAGGGATCCTATCGACAAACAGGATCCCATCTGAGAAGAGGATCCCCCCGGGAAATGGGATCCTAACGGAATCGGGATCTCACCAAAAAATGGGGAAAATTAGAAAATGGTGACCTACTTGTGTAATGGGATCGGTATCCCAATGGGGTCAGGATCAGAATTAAATCCCATTTGGAAATGAGGTCTGGCCAATGGGATCCCAATCTGGATCCAAATGGGGTTGGGATCCCATTTGGAAACAGGATCCCGATCGGGATCCCATATGGGGTCGAGATCCCAATGGGAATGGGATCGGGATTCCAATAAGAACTGGATCCCATTGGAAAATGGTATCCTACTTGGAAATGGATCTTGTCGGGGGAAAAAAGTTTTACAAAAGTTATTTTAAATGTGATTTTATAGGAGACAAATTAATTCTTTTATTTTTCTTTACTATAGGGTTTTTTGTTGTTGTTTTTTTACTTGCCGCTTAATTTCGACGTTATTTAAAAGGCTGTCGAAGTTGTTGTTTTCCCAAATGCAATCCCGTGCAACGCCGGGTATATTGGAAGTATGAAATAAATGATGGTTGCGTATGAACATTACTAATTGATAATGTTTTCCTATCAATGTTTTCCTAACACATTTAGTGAAAGACTCCAAGTGTGATTATCCAGCTGCTTGTAATAGCATGGAAACACTGTTAATTCACCGATCCCATAGAGAAGGACCACTCTTTGACAAAATGTGTGAGATGCTTAGACTCCAAGGGGTAAGCATAAGACTTGAGAAGAAAAAAATACTTTCTTTTAGACATTGGTTAATATTTATTTACCCATTGCAAGGCAGTTACTTTTATTACTTATAATCATTCACTAATTATTTTTAGACAGATTTTCTGTAATTAAAATTGTGCAATAGTAAATATAGATGTAACAGTAAAACTTCAACCGATCTTCTACTTTTTCCTGCAGGTGAAAATTCATGCCGGACCTAAGTTAGGCCAACTACTCAAATTCGGCCCATCTCTGGCAGCTTCTATGCGCACTGAATATAGTTCACTCGAGTGTGCAGTTGAGATTGTTGATGATTTAGATGATGCAATCAATCACATCAACAAATATGGCAGTTCCCATACTGATGCTATTGTCACAAACAATGGTAACTCACAACTTTAAATAAATATTGTGTGTTGGTCTCTGAAGAGTAATATTTCCTTTATTTTTTTTACCTTTAATTGATTTTCTGTTGTATATTTTCTTTAAAATGTATTTTAAAATACATAAATTCTTTTAATGTTTTCATTTCTAGATGAAAATGGGGAGAGATTCCTAAAAATGGTTGATAGTGCTTGTGTGTTCAAGAATGCTAGTACTAGGTTTGCTGATGGATACAGATTTGGACTAGGTAATGCATACTTACCATCTTGGCAAAACTTTTATTAGTTGAGTGTATAAAAACAAAAAGAAGAAAAGAAAAAAAATCTAAAAGAATTGCTTTTAAAAATTAATGTTAAAAAAGATTAATCTTTCCTTTACATTAAAACAAAAATAATAACATTCCTTAGCTCCTTAATTTTTTTTAAAGTTTACAGTTTAAATGTTTTATATTTTGCAGGGGCTGAGGTAGGTGTCAGTACTTCTCGCATCCATGCGCGTGGTCCAGTTGGCTTGGAAGGACTTCTCACACACAAGTGGCTATTGTCAGGTTCTGGTCAAATAGTGGCTGACTTCACTGCAGGAAAAAGCAAATTTATCCACAAGAAATTACCAATCCCAGACAAATCCTATGGTGACTCATGATGCACAAGATGAGACTAAAAGTTAGCTATCTGAATAAGTGAATGAATCGGAACAGATTCTCTTTGAATGATTTAATTAGTTATGCTGTAAATAGACACAATTAATGTCATTCGATATTCTGTTTGAAGTGATACTGAATATTGAAATGGCTTAAAAAATAAACTTTATTATATGAGACAATGTACATATTTCAAACTTAATTGAACATTTCATTAAATGAAATTGGATTCTGGAAGCCATTTAAAGGCATGTTTATTTTTTGCTTTATTTCCTATTTTTTAATTTAATGAATTACACTATGTATAATATTTTTTTTTCTAATACAGCCAAGGGATTAGTGTTCATCTTTTAATATTTATTATTGTTACTTTCAGAAATATATATATATTTGAGTCAATGTGATTTAATCTAAGCACTATTACATAAACCAAGCATGTGCAAAGAGATTCCCACCCTGCCAGTTACATATGCTCTCCACATGTTTCATCCTTCCTGTGAAAATATAACACTATCAGGCCAGATAACTTTTCCTATTAAAATTATTTTTGATAGATAACTTCATTACTAAGTTGATGAAATGATATACTGAAAAGTTGTCATTAAGTTCTTACTCTTACACAATTGAAAAAGTTTATGATGTAATCTTGTTACATAGTGGAAAAAAAATTCATTTCTCAGGCCCACAAAAATCATTTTAAACTTGCTGCCTACCAAGAATATAACCTTAAACAAGACATTTTAGCATTGGACCAAAAAAACTTTGCACATCTTTGATACAGAACTATGTGCAAAAAAAATGTACTTTGGGAAATGTACTTTAGTTTTTGGGAAATTTTTTCTTTTGTTCAAACTATTTCTTTTGCGTTAAAATTCAGCAAGTCTTGCCTGCAATAAATTATATGATTCATATACCATTTTGAATCTTTGCAACAAAGGATTTTTTAAATTAATCATAATATAGTAAGGACTGCATTCAAGCCATGTGAAATAAATAAATAGTAGAACTAGATAATGTTTTGGCTTGAAAAGAAAAGAGAGGATAATTAAACAAACATAAACGTTTAATTGTCCTGTCTTTTATTTTCAAGCCTAAATGTAAAAGCTTTTTCCACTATTTATTTACATTAATCAGTGTGATAAAGGGTAAAAAACAGTAAACCAAGATCACAAAATAATTGATTAACATAATGATATTGTAAACCCTTTTTTGTAACAATGTTTTTACCATATATTTTTCATGTGTATGATTGCAATTCAATTACAGAATTTTTACTTTCAACCAAATAAAAACAAATATACAGAAAAGTATATTGATTGATACCCAATAGATTAAAGTCTGTTCTGTGTGACAAGAGGTTTTATCTATATAATATATTTATGGGTGGCCCACAATTACAAACTCTGCCATAGGAGAAGTACCATGATTAAATTTATTACAAGCACTGCACTGTGATGGAGACAGTTACAGGAAATTTGATCGAAAGAAATTTCGTCGACGGTAAATTGATCGAAGGGAAATTTAGTCGAATTTTTTTTTTTTCAGTTAACACATTAAAATTTTCGTCAAATTTCTTTTGAACGAATTGTACTGTATAGTTAAACAAAATAAAATTTGAAGCAACATTTTAACGTAAAAACTGGGAAAAAAAGATTTGACCAAATTTCCTTTCGATCAAATTACCATCGATCAATTTACCGTCTACAAACTACAAAATTTCTTTCGATCAAATTTCCGGATACGGATGGAGACTTCAAGGTATTAACATCTGTGTACTATCACAGCATCTTGTTGGAATAAGCATTTACTCAATAAACGTGTTTAGAATGACAAAACAACTTTGTTATGGGACATCAGATGTAAATTTTATATAAAGGTAAATTAGCCCCCTCCTCTCTTTCTCTCCTCCCCTCTCTCTTTCTCTCTCTATCCCTCTCTCTCTCCCTCCCTCCCTCTCTTTTTTTTTTCTAGCTGACAGCACAAAGTTAACAATAGGCTAAAAATCAGGAACATGTTTTAGACATTTCTTGCTTATTCTGGTCTCTTGGAATTGTTAATTGAAGAAAAAGTTTTAAATGATTTTAGTCATAAATTAGATGAAACTTCTTGTTTTCAATTTACATTTTTTTTTTAATGACTTTTCAAAGACTGCTTTGAGATTTTATAGTTGCATGACTTTAAACTCTATTTCATTGGATAATTGCTGAAAAGGAAATTCATTGTGGTTCTTTAATGTATATTTTTTTAAACTTCCATGTGTCTTAACAAGCTGTGTTCATCTGCCCTACATACTGGTACATATTAATAACTGTGCTCATTTAGCTTATAATGAGGTCCTGGTTGTGATTACTTCATGCCAGATATCCAAGTGAGATTATCATCTATCATACACCACCTTAAAAATATTTGATTGTAGTTTAAAACTATTTCATATTCTTTTCCTTCGCAATCTATTCTCAAAATATTATCTGATACTACTGATAGATTTGTTGCGCAAGAACATTTTTTTTTCCACTTTATAAATGAACAAGAGCATATTTACCACGTCTCAGATTATGCTAGTACTTGTATTTATAGATTTAAAAAAAACAAATTCCTCGATTTAAAAATTAGAGTGTTTTTAAAAAAACTGTTGTATTATTAGTTTGCTTTTTCCCGTTGCTCCAAGTAGTTAGTACAAACATGTATTCAGTACATCCATTTAAGATCATTTATAACAGTAATTTATTTTCTTTTGATGTACTATTACTGTAGGGGTATCCATTTTAAGTTAACTTGTTTATAAACTATTTTAATATCTTCAGACTGCGTATTATCTTGAGTAACATTTTATTAGATTTTTGATTATGCAGGATTATGATCTACTGCAACATTCCTATATAGATGTTGGTATTAAACCTATTTAAACAGCTATTATGCTACTTTTATTTAAATTTACTCTCAAGACAAAAATAATAATTCTAAGTAGATTTGGAATTTTGTTATTGGTATTTTTATTTTAATTACTTATGATCATGCATAATTTCCTGGAAAACCTCTTTTTAAAAGGAATGCAAAATTATTAATCCAACTAGATCAGTGGTTCTCAACCTTCCTGGTGCCGCGACCCTTTAATACAGTTTCTCGTGTCGTGGCGACCCCCAGTCACACAATTATTTTCGTTCCTACTTCATAGCTGTAAGGATATGTGTTTTCAGATGGTCTTAGGCGACCCCTGGAAAAGGGTCGCGCGACCCCTTTGGGGTCGCGACCCACAGGTTGAGAACCGCTGAACTAGATGTTTCTGCTATAATAGCTTTTTTATAGCAATTATTTTTAAAATATACATTAAATCTTTATATGCCATCATGAAGATATGTGGTCATGTTGCCTTCTTAATGCTTCTTGAAACCAATTTTATGTTGACTTTTTCTTAGAATTAAGATGATATTTAACTTAGTAATTATCATCAGATGTTGTAAATTTATCAGATTGCTATGCATAGAAAATAACAAATAAATAAACTTACTGAAGTTATTTTTGAAATATTTTGTAAATTTTTTATTTTTGTTTTTTTTAAATTTCAAATTGGAGTGTTATTCGAATGTGGGTTTACCTGAAGAAATCTAGAAATCAGCTTTAATTGTACCAGATTTTAATTGTTCCATGGTTAGGTGATGTGAAAATAATCTGAAGTAATCTTGATCAGTTTGGTCAGTACATGCACAAGTAGGTTAGAGAGCTAATCTCTGTGCCTTAAGGATGACAATGTGAGTATGATGAGAATCCCACACATTTTGTCTTTGCTGGTTCTTTGATAAGTAACTTAACATTTTAGAAATACTGTTCCATATGTTAAAAACAGTAATATTAAAGGGATGGTTCCAAATTAATTTGTCTGCAATGCATTGTTTTCACTAAAAAAGGGACAGGTTGAATAACTTTTTTTTTTTTAATTGTTTTTCTGCCTATTTTTACTGGCACTGGCATGAGCAGAATTAAGTTAGTTTAATTGAATGATATACAGGTACATCTTCCAACCAAATAAAATTTGGTATTCTGAGCAATAAGCAGGAGAAATGAATTTTATACACAGAAGTGTTAATTTTCCTACTGTGGATTATTTAAAATGATCATCTTTTTTTTTTTAAATTATCATTTGCAATACACAAGGCAAGGAACATTGGCATATAACACCAGCATCATAGAACAGGTGCCTGCAAAGTAACATCGGATTTTAAGCTAAGCGCCAATCATCTATTTTTGGAACTAACATACCTTCACAGAAAGAAATTCCGGGTTCTCACTGGTTTTGGCATCATTTAGCTGACCCTTATATACAGTGGATGCAGACAGTGTATGTAAATAATAAACTATACAGTAAAATATCATTGGAGGAACGACGACGACAATCCAGGCTCTCCATGATGTAAAAGATAAATAATGGGCTGGTCCATACTGCTCCAGTATTAAACAGAAACTCGTCCCTCTCCCCCATAGACAGCGACGAGGCCATGACGGGCAATTCAGGCTCATACCAGCAAGAAACTATTATAGGAGCTGCTCATTCCCGCCCAAGACAATCAGGGACTGGAACAATCTTTCAAAAGGAACGATTGAAGCGACAACACTAGACACATTTGTGTCTATTGTCTCAAGCCCTCAAACCCCTAGTGCACGATTCCCTCACAAAGTGGCACTGGAAATCAGTGAAATTTCCTCTTCAACACCAGGAACAGAAACATTGCAAATCCCATCTACATGCATAGGAGCCAAAATGATCAATAAATTGATCGTGGGCCCTTAATATTTAGAAGAAGAAGAAATACCATAAGTGCTAAAGTTAAGAGTATATCGTATTCAATGAACTAACTTCTTTAACGCAACCCTTATGAAAGAGTTTTCGGTTATCCGCAACTCCCCTTGTCCAAACTAGTTCAGATAATTGACTGTCTGCTGTATCACATTACTTACTTATGCCTCTTACCCCGTCTGGGGCATGGACCGTCTATATGAATTTTCCATTTATCTCGGTCCTGTGCTTTCCTATCCAGTTGCTTCCTGGTGTATCCCATACTTTATGTGTTTGCCTCTGGCACACAACTCCATGTACTCTTTGGTCTTCCTCTCTTTCTTTTTCCCTGTGGATTCCATGTTAGGGATTGTCTTGTGATGCTATCTGGGGGTTTTTGGAGAGTGTTCCCTATCCACCCCCAATCTTTTCCATATGATGTCCTCAGCAATCGGCCCCTGGTGTGTTTTTTCTAGTAAGTATTTGTCGGTGATGGTGTTAGGCCATTTAATGTTCAGGATCTTTCTAAGGCAAGTGTTTATGAAGGTCTGTACTTTCTGCGTTGAAAGACTCAGATATATATTTTAAAAAAAGAAAGACTCAGATATCCTAAATACTAATGAATATACAATATTCTAAAGTGGAAACAACACAAACACCTTAGGAACAGTGTTTGCAGTCAAAAGAGAGACAGTAAATGCAGTCATTGGGTTTAAGCCAGTGAGCGAAAGATTGTGCTCCATAAGGATTAGAGGAAAAATGTTTAATACCACGTTAATCTGCGCACATGCTCCAACGGAAGATACAGATGAAAGGATGAAAGAAACTTTCTACAAAACACTGGAAAGAGTATTTGATGAGGCTCCACGCCATGATACCAAAATAGTCCTTGGCGATTTCAATGCGAAAATTGGGAAAGAACTAGTTTACAGACTAACAATCGGAAAGGAAAGTCTGCATAATGAGAGCAATGACAACGGAACACGTCTTATAGGCTTCGCTACAGGAAAAGGGATGACAATCAATAGCACAATATTCCTACATAACCAAATACAAAAAGCGACATGGATATCTCCAGATGGATTTACCCGTAATCAAATAGACCACTTACTCATCGAAATTATGGCTCGGACATATTAGATGTGTAAAGTTGTAGAGGGGCGGTCATAGTCTCGGACCACATGCTTGTTAGAATCAAATACAAACAAAGAATGTGTAACATCCACAATAAACAAAATAAAAGAGAAAAACAGTACAATAGTCAGAAATTGAGAAAGGACCCACAAATTACTGAGGAATATCAACAGAAGATTGAAACTCAACTAGAATTATCCAAAAGAGAATCAGCCAGCAACGTTGATATAAACCAGCAACGGGAAAAGATGAAGCAAATACCTAGTCAAAAGTGTAACAGAGGAAACGATTGGATTTAAAATGTCAGTGAAAAGATCAGGATGGTATGACGCAGAATGCAAAGAACTTATAGAACAAGGAAAAAAAGCTCGGCTAATGATGCTGCAAAGGGAGACAAGAAGAACACGGCAATTATATAATGAAGCAAGAAGGGTTGCCAACAAAATTTTCAGAAAGAAAAAAAGTGTTTGGGAAAAATAAAAAAATATTAGAGATAGAAGAGTTGGCAAAAGAAAGAGATGTGAGGGGAATGTACCTGAAGATAAAGCAGGAAAAGAACGGCTTTCAAGCAAGATCCCACATGTGTGAAAGTACTGATGGAGAATTGATCACAGAGAGCAGTAGAGTACTAGAGAGATGGGCACAACACTTTGAAGGCCTACTGAATGGCTCAGGTGGAGGAACCAATGAGGATTACGCTCCGCCACAAGGAGGACCGGACCCACTGGTCAACCAACCAACATCGAATGAAATAAAAGATGTAATCTCCACCATGAAAAATAACAAAGTCCCAGGAATAGACCTTATCTCTGCAGAAATGATAAAGCTAGGTGGTAACGAACTGCATAGGCAAATACACGAACTTATATCCAGAATCTGAAAGGAGAAAGAAATAAATGCCAATTGAATGGGACACGGCACTCATAATCCAAATTCACAAAAAGGATCTAAGTTGATCTGCTTAAACTATAGAGGATCTCCCTTCTTAATGTAATGTACAAAATCCTCACAAAACTTATAGCAAGAAAACTGGAAAAGTATAGTGAACAGATCCTAGGGAACTATTAATATGGATTCCGGCAGAATTGGTCAACCACGGATCATATTTTTACTATAAGATGTCTCCTGGAGAAAGGTTACGAATATAACATCGACATACACTTCATACACCAACTATATGTGGATTACAAAACAGCATACGATAGTGTAAACAGGAATTACTTTATACAATGCTATACAAGAACTTGGAGTCCCTAACAAGCTTACTCGGCTCATACATAAAATGACAATGGCCAAATCCAAAAGTAGAATCAAGGTGCAGGGAGAATACTCAAGGGAGTTCCCAGTTAATCGGGGCCTCAGACAAGGAGACATACTATCATGTATCCTGTTTAACATCACTCTAGAAAAAGTTATTAAAAGCATATACGTAAACACCAGTGGAACCATAACAAACTACTTCCAGAGAAGTATTACAGAGCAACGACCATCAGGATATATAGCCAAACATTGCAGTACCTGGCATATGCAGACGATATGGCGCTACTGGGTAGAAACCGTAATGATAAAAGTGCAATGTCATCTGCAAAGTCAAGGTCATTCAGTTGTTCCAAGGGTGTCCACTGTATCCCCTTTCTCTTTTTGTTTGTGGAGTTTTTCATTATCCAGTCAATGGCCATGATGAATAGAAAGGGGGACGAGACATCCTTGTCTGACTCCTTTTTTCACTTTAAAAGCTTCAGTGAGTTTACCTTCGTGTGCAACCCAACATGTCATTTCTTCATGAGAACTCTGAATAATCCTGACTAGTTTTCCTGGTACCCCATAATGCCGGATAAGTTTCCACAAGGTTTGTCGGCCCAGACTATCAAATACTTTTTTGTAGTTGGTAAAATATATAGGGGGAAGTTTTGTTCTGTGGAATGCTTTACAATGATTCGTAGTGTTGCAATTTGATCTGTACTTGATCTGTTTCGGCAGAAGCCAGCCTGTTGATCTTGAAGCTGCGTGTCGACCTAGTCTTCATTCTATTCAAAATAATTATTTTTAAATCCTTTCCTGGTACAGAAAGCAGTGTAATTCCTCTGTAGTTTGCTCAGTTGCCGATATCCCCTTTCTTTGGTATCTCGATTAGGTATCCTTCTTTCCAATCTTTTGGAACTCTCTCTTCTTCCCATATATTTTCAAACAGAGGGTGTGGCATGTTGTCTATCTGCCCTCATTATCTCTTTTGTGATGTTATCTGGTCCCGATGCTTTCCCTATTTTGAGCTGCTTGATAGCCAGAGCTATTTTTTCCTTATTTGGGGCTTTGTCTTCTATTTGTAAATTTTCATTAGCTGGTTGTATATCTGTTGTGTCTGTGAGTGGAGATCTATTTAATAATTCCTTAAAGGTATCCACCCTTCTTTTCTGTTGTTCTTTCCGTTCCGCTAGTGATTTTCCTTCCTTGTCTTTAACTGGTCTCTCTGTTCTCTTATATGTTCCCGAGAGCCTTCTTGTTATGTCAAAGGGCTCTTTCAAGTTTCCTTCTGGTCATCATTTGTTTGGTCTTGCAGTGCCTGAAACTTATCTCTCAAGGTAGCACTGAATTCCTGTTGTTTCTGCTCGTTTGCCATATTTGCTATGTTATATTTTATTCTTCCAGCAGCTGGTTCTTCCTAGTTTTTCTTCAGTTTTAACTTGAGTCTTGCCCAAATTTGATGATGATCAGATGTAACATAAGCTCCTCTTTTTGCTCGTACACCTTTCAGAGACCAATTTTTTTTCTAATACATAAATTATCAATTGGGTTTTTTGTTTTGTTGACAAGGGACATCCAAGTTACCTTGTGGATATTCTTATGCTAGAATTTTCACTTCCCTCAAAAACGAGCTCATTTGCTGCCAGTCTTTTGCCGTTTTCATTTCTCTCTCATATACCTTGGTGCCCCATAATTTCTTCATATCCTCTGTTTTCCTTTCCAGTCTTAGCATTTAATCTCTCCTTATTTAGATCCCTGTTTGTATATTTTTCCAGTATGGCTTGTAGTCTATTGTAGAAAGCTTCTTTTTCATTCTTACTATCGTTGGTGAGTGCCTTGACTGAATTAAATTCATATTTATTTTACTCAACTTCCTAGTATGACACAGTAGACAGTGGAGTCAGTTAAGCACTGGATGACCATAAACAAACTCAAATTGAATGATGAAAATACTGAGCTGATCCTCATTGTCACTGCTCAGAAACAAAAATCTGTAAAGAAACACAACATCACTTATTCTCTCAGGTATGCAGATTGAGTTTGCTCGAATAGTGCGAAACACTAACTATGGAAAATCACATTAATATGCTTTGCAAAGCGATTTTTCTAGAGCTGCGCAGGATTAGTCATAGCAGACCTTTCTTAACGTTCGAAGCATCAAAGAGGCTGATGTTAGCATTCGTGTTATCACGCATGGACTACTGCAATGCTCTAATGGTTGGTCTCCCAGCTACGCTCCTGGATAAATTCAAATAGCACAGAATAATGCGGCTCGCATTGCTCTTCGCAAACGCAAATTCGACCATGCTAAAACACTTCTGAGAGAGCTGCAATGGCTGCCGGTCCGCGCTCGCATAGAGTACAAAATTGCAACTTTGTGCTACCGCTGCTTACATGACCTGGCGCCAACCTATCTCAATGCACTCGCGACGCCTTATGTACCCACTAGACAGCTCCGCTCATCCGATAGTAGCAAATTATCGATACCGTGTGTTCGCCTACAGATCTACGGAAAGCGCACTTTTGCATTTGGGGCCGTCCATAAAGTGCGTCACGCTCCAGAGGGGGGTGGGGTTTTAGCAAGTGTGACAGTTTGTGACAGGGGGGAGAGGGGGTCAGGCCATGTGTGACGTCACACATTAAAAAAAAAAAAAGTATTTTCTAATTTTTGTAGTTGAATTTAATAGCTTTAAAAATAATTTTCAAAAATTTTGTGAAACATTGGAATTAGTTTTATGTTAAAATAGCATGAAATACGTATCTCCTGAATGTGTTGTTCACGATTCCTCTCGCTAGGAGCGCTAGTATGCTGTTGCGAAGCCTTTGTTTATGTATAGCCTTGCTGAGATCAACAGGAGTTTGCAAAGTGCAACTATATGATCTTTATTGTCCATCTTTGCAGACCAGCCTACGTGATCGAATTTGCAAAGTATGTCACTTATACTTTGCCTCACAAACAATGTCGAAGAAACATGCAGGACAACACAGAGCTCGGGCTCGGGAGAAAGTGCCAACCCAAACTGTTCCAGAATCAACTCAGATAAAACGCATCAGTCCTTTGAGAATCGCTGCTAGATGGCAACGAGAACTCGTGGCAGTTATTCCCAGAAGAGAAAATGCACATTCAGAGGATGTTGAGTGGCTAGATGAGGATGAAGTTGATCTGTCTGCAATTATCCTTACAGGAAACGATGATGGTGAAAGATTGATGCCAGTCGTAACTAATGGATGAACACTTCACTTCACCATGGATGGATGATGTCCAGTGAATATTTTTGAATTAAACATAATTCACAGGCCCATAATAAACAGATTCAATATAGCACAAAAGTTTGTCACAAAATTGGTCAATCTAGTCTTTTTTTTTAGTCAAATCATTTTGTTTTCTTTTTATTATTTTATCACTGGGTGAGGTCAAGTTTCGCTAATTAACTTCTTATCCTGTGTAAAAAGATTGCTTAATCGGAAATTATCTAAAACTTGACCTCATCTTTTGTAAATGAAAAAGCAGTAGATACATGATGTGTATTATATAATTGTCTAGTCTAATTTTTGCTATTTTTGTTTTCAAATTCAATCTAGATTGAGTTAATGCTTCAATGAATAACTGTGACAACTGTTGACAATTAACTATTCTACTATTAGAGTAATTTTAATAATGTGAGAGTTCTTTTAAGTGGACATTTTATATTTTAATACAGTTTAATAGTGAAGTGTGCTTTAGATTAAATTTTAATGAGGTGTTAATAAAAAAAAAAGTTGCTCGACAGTGTGACGTACTTTAGCGAGGGGTGTCCGAGATGTGTGACAGTTTGTGACAGGGGGGAGGGGGGTAAAAATTGTAAAAATAGCGTGCCATACTTTATGGACGGCCCCTTTGCTGGCCCAACAATATGGAACGCCCTTCCAGTCGCTCTCAGAAACAGCCAGACACTGGAGCCCTTTAAAACCGATTTAAAAACACATCTATTTCGCAAACACCTTCTGGGGTGATGCTGTCTACCATCTTTTTCCAATTAATGTATATTGGCTTGTGTTGAAATTATGTGTTTATGGTTGAAATTGGATGAAAGACTTTGACTTGGTATGCTCGTATGTAGTTTTTATATTTTTGCGTCTGTTTTAAATGTGGTAAATTTTAGATTGTTTTAAATATCTTTTTAATATCGTTGACTTTGTACCACGCTTCGAGCTTTTGGGGATGAAGCGTGTTTTTCAAATAAACTTTATTATTATTATTATTTTTTCTTCTTGGTTCGGAAGATTGCTGTAATAATTCATGAACTATTGGCTTCCCATCCTATCAATGCCTCTTGTGCCATCCGTATCATCATGAAACTGACTCCTTGTTTGTGTGTTGAACATTTTCCTCCTCAAACCCTGATTATATTAGGGTTTTTCTGAGGCCAAAGTTAACTGGCCAGCGTGTGTGCATCTCGTTTCAAAGATGCTGAGCAAGGTGAGTTTATATGTTTTCATTTCTGCCACCACTTGTGCTGATTTTCCCTATTTCATACATGGCTCCAACATTCCACGAGCTTGTGTTTATTGCCTTTGAAAGGTGGGTCCTTGGTTTTGAATACAACCGGTCTTTGGTTACAGGGCTTCATAACTCTCCTTGGGAAAGAAGAGCCCTCTTGTCAGTGCTGACATTGTTTTTTTTCTTCTTCTTTTTGACGTTTCTGTAGCAGTTTATTATTTTTTTACGGGTGAAGTGGCTGACCTCACCCTACCCCTTCTCCTTTTGCACCCGGGCATGAGGGAGTTATTGTATTGCATTAGGTATTTTAAATTTCAAGGTTAAATAATATACGTAACAAAACCTTTGTCATAATTTTAAAAATAACAGACTTGCTGCATAATTTTTTGTTGTTGCTGGCATCCGTCTGTCACAATATAACGATGGTGTAGACTTAACAGGACGAAATCCACAAGGCCTGGGATTATTCTTTTTAAGATTATATGCTGGCTTCCTACACAGCAAATCGCCTCTCCACGCCGTTGGATTACCCACGGGAACAACGTGTGGATGATACAGCTTGGCACCAGTGGCATCGCAGTAGTTGTCGGATCATTATGCCAATGTTATCCGCCTACGGGACTCCATCTTTGGGTTTTGGCTCAGTTTAGACCATTCGGCCACCCAGCATCCATTAGTATTTACGTCCTTTAAAAAATGGAACAATTGAAAAAAGTTTAAATATTTATGAAATCTTAAAGAACCTTTCATCCACTAGAGTCTAGAGCATTAAAAATTTACTATTTATTTTATTAGAATCCAAGTGCTGAAAAGATTTTGATTTTATTTAATTCAGTTAACTACATAACTGGTTTTTAAAAATCTGTTATATAAAGAGAACATTAACTAATATTTCTTTTGATTAAATGAGTTTGCATTAAACATGTTGATTTTTAGGTTACTGTGATCGTATGGGTAATTGAAAATTCACTAAAGTCTATTATAACTTTGGCACACTTTGGATATAATTGATCAAAACGAAAATTGGTACATTTCCATATAAGGCTTATAAACTACTTCCTGTCAAGTAACTTGAATTAAGTTACTCTTTTTGTCTAATTTTCTGATATTTTTTATTGTTATGTTCCCAATGGAAAAGCATGTAGCCCAAACATTCATTTACTTCTTGTTTATATTATTCAAGCTTGCAACATTTCCTTTTTTTTTTTTTGAATTTTTATTTTAAAATATTAATCAACCTTTTGTTTCCAAATTTTTGTGTTCGAATGAAAAGTTTTTAAAAAATTTAAAAGATACTGGCATAAGTTGAAAACAATATTTGAAAACAGAAATAACATTTCTTTATTTCATAATCATATAAACCATTGAATTCTTCCAATTTATTTTACAAAACATAGATAACTATTTTAAACTCACATTTTACTTATTATGTTATTACAAAAATTTTCACTGGAGTAATTTTAAAATAACTTTAAAGATGTGTAGTTTATTTAACAAATGTTACTATTTATTTATAATGTCCACTGATTGCTAGGACATGTTATCAAAAAGCTATTGAATACATTTTTAAAAATTCTCTTAACAAATAGGTATCTTTTTAAAAAAAACTGGAACACACCAATTTAAAATATTAATTCAACAACACAAATATATAACCAAATTCACATTTTTCTTTGACCTATTCAAATTTATTTGAGAAAAAAACGATTTGAATTAACAGACGCTCCCTTGCATTGATAGCTGTCATCCTTGTATAGCAAAGATTAAAATGAAGTGTTATCTTGGTAAATATCCTGACAATCAATTTAAAGAAGATATCCAACAGTAGAATAATATATTGTGAAAATATTATTATAGTCACTTATACTACTGGCAGATACAAAAATACCTTTCAGCTTATACAGATAAAGGAAATATAATAAAGACAGTTCATGCTGTGTGTAGGCAATGTTCAAATGTAGTTATTTACTGTAAAGCTAAATGTTATATGTTGTTAAAGATAAGTCCTTTTTCTAAATGTTTCATTCTGTTTTGTTAACGGAGGAAGAAAGTCACCCAAAACATAAGTGTTTTTGTCTCGTTTTTCAAGCTTCCACATATCTTATTCCAAATTGTTAGGATAAAAAAAAATTGATAAAAAAAAAAAAATTTAAATAAAATGAAGTCTCATCAAGCAAGTTTCTTTTGCTAAATTTCTCAAATTAAAGTTTGTTTTCACAATGGCAGTTTTTCAGCTCAGCAGTATGAAGTACGAATTATACAATGAAGTGTTAGAAAGTAATAGTAACATTTATATTTTAAAAATGGAGGAAAAAAAACACAACTAAATATTTCAAATTCCATTTATCAAAGAATGGCCCCCTACACTGGTTAAATTTTTTTTTGTAACAGCTTATTTCATTACAATAGTTGAAACACACAGCATTTCTATGATTAAATGAACCCAGCAAGCTTAAACACATTCATTCCATTCATGTTTTCAGGAACTAAAATAATTGTTTTATTAACTATTTTTAAATATGACTAATTCAAATCAATAAAATTTCAATATATTACAATAATTATCAATTCAAAAAATGTTTCTTAAGACCCAATGACAAAAATAATAACATTGTGGAGCTTTTCATACACAACTGAGTAATTTTAAATGAAAATCATGTATAAACATAGATAAATATTTAACAAAAGATCATACATCCTATATATAATAGATCATTTGGTTGAGTACACTTTTGTTTTTACAGTAAACTGTAATCAAATGTTTTATTCTCCCATTTCCCTTGGACATAATTGCTCAAGTTTAAGAGTAACGTGAAATACACACATATGTAACCAACATAAATTAAAAAACTGTAATGAGTGACTTGTAAACTTATATGAAGATATGCCCAGCATGTTAATGCCTTGTCACCATAAAGCAATATGAACAAAATGAAGCTTCATCTAGAAAAACTTAAGCTGTGGTTTTATTGATTTTTTTAACATAAAAAAAAACATTTTGTTTCATCTCCGAAGAAGATACTTTTTTAACGTACAAAGATAAAACATATAATGATAATTTCTTAGTAATAATCCCAAAACCAGTTTTATTTTATTGCTTACAATTTTTTTGTTAAAATGTGATCACTGAGCTAAAAATAATATGTCTATCTTCTTCAAAACCACTGAAACATGAAACCTTTACGTTATCTTAAAACTATGGCTGCTGGGTTATTTCAATGTCAATGTATATTAAGCTAAATTAATTTTATCTTTAAGTATAAATCATTCCAACTGATACATTTTTTTGGTAAAAAAATTATTTTAAAAAGGAATTAATAACTAAAAACTTTCTTTTGACACAAGAAGACCCCAAAGCAAGTTAGTTCTCATGCTGTAAATTACATAAAAAATTAACACATTTCAAGTTCTGCCAAATATATATTTACAGACACAAATCTGATGAATTTAGTTCTATATACTGTGGAGTATGACTGAAAATCAAGAGCTTAAAGTAAGTCAAGAAATAAGATTTATGGTAAAGATTAATGTTAAGTCATACTTGTTAGCTGAGAAAGACTTTCTGCTGCTTGCTTTATTTTACATCAAGTTTTACGATAACTCCTACAATTCAAACCTTTTTTGTTCATTGTTTGAAGCTTATGTGTGAAAAACTGCATACAAGTAGTGTAAATAGTGTTCAAAGCAATGTTAGAAAATGATTCTAAGTCAATATGTTAAGAGCAAAATCTTCGTTAAGTAATAAGAATAAATTCTTCTTAATTTAAATGAATGTTAACATGCATACAAAACGAGCTAAATTAAATTCAGCACACAGGATACTTAGGTTAGCTCAACAAAATACTTAATTACAACATAGAAAAATCTACAAAATTTGCAGCTAACATAACAATTCGGAGAAAAGATAATAATCATAATCCAACCACCGCATTCTACAATAAACTGAGGCACAAATTAGCTCCAATATTACTGTTGTGAATCACAGATATTAGCTAAATGTGTTGAAATTAGATATATACATGGACACATAACAAGTAAGAAGGAGACCAGAAGAAATATTTGTCATAAAATATGTAGGAATCGCCAGAAACAAAAATTTTCATTTTTCAAGTGCAATCATTGTTATAATTAGAAGATTCAGTTTTATATACAACCTTTTAACTTATAATTATAACTTAACTATTGATGGGAATGGCTTGCACATGTGTCAATGTAATAAATGTTGAACTATTTTCTGTTAAATATGATATCTGAGAAATAAATTAGGCTCTTATCAATAATGTAAAAAGTATATAACCATACAATTAATGTTATGCTAATGTTTAACTAAATATTCTACAGTTTCTCTTTCTGTTTTTCCCCTTCTCGATTTTCTTTCTCTACTTTTTCTTTCAACTTTTCTTCCCCCTCTAGCAATGCTTCATGCTTTAGTAAGTTAAGAACCTCTTCCAATTGCGTAGAACTGAGTTTGAGATGTTCTTGACTAAGCAATTCCAGTACCTAAAAAATACACATAAATGTATGAAAAAATTAGTTTTAAATTTTTTTTCATGCATGCTAAAATTTAAAATTTTATTGACACTATACTCAGTTATCCATTGTCTCAATATTGCTATTTATATCATTATTTCTGTCACAGAAAATTCTGAAGTTTATCTATTCAAAATCATTTAAATTAAAAGTCTCAAATTTAAATATTTTCAAAAATATAATACTTACTTTCAGAGCATCATTGATATCAATGTTTCCATCTTTGTCTTGGTCAAGAACTTGAAAGATTCTTCGTAGCTTTGAGTCACTTGGGACTTTCTTCAACCTTTTTAGGGCCTCCATCATTTCATTAATGGTGATAATGTTGGATCTGGAATATAATATGGAATATATATGTACACTTTACAAGATATTGCAAATAATTCTAAATTATCAAAATAAGTTTATAGGAAAATGCTCAGTAATCCCCACAGAACACCTAAGCAGTTAAAAAACACAGCGCTGTAAGCCTATAATGTACTTTTATTGGGTTTTAAATTTTAAAATAATTATATCTTTAGTTCGAAATGTTTACCCTTGTTAATATTGATTGTTGGTTTCACTACAGCAATTAAATAAAGTTTTTTTTCTCAATAAAATGGGCTTTAAAGTACGTATTAATCCATTGCTTTAATAAAGCAGCATTTAATCTGATGTCTATTGAAAATTAACAAGATTAATGTTACCTTTTTTTAGTGTCAGTTTTGAACTAGATAATTTAATTCTTTTCTTATTTATTGGAAGCAAACATTTCATTAATTACATCTTCTTTTTATTTTACATACTTAGTTAAATAAAACAAAATTTTATAAGATTTTTCTTGAAAGACTGAAGTAGTTGCATAAACAAAGCTTACTTATATTTATCAATTGCCTCTTGAGACTGATTGGCATTTGCCCCTTGCTCCACCTCCAAAGTTTTCTCAACTTTTGAGATCTTCTCTTGGATGTGACTTTTTTCTTCCTGGAGACCCTCAACTACAGTATCGAGACTTGAAATCATGCGCTCAACCTTTTTAGCCAGTCGCCGAGCAGCTTTAGACTCCCCCAATTCTTTCTGCTCTGCTCCACAAACAACTGCAACATCTTTCAAATCTTCCAAATCCTGTATAAATAGTATTAGCTTAAAAAAATTCATTGTAATAATTTTATTTTATAGAATTTTTTTTTTTTTCAAACATAATTTAAATGCAAAATACTATATGTTCTTAAAGATAACAACTTATCTATTGAACTATAAAACATACCTCTTTGTACTCTGAAACTTCATCTTTAAGACCTTTCAAAGCATCTTGTTCGATATTAATTCTCCTTTCTTTCGCAATTTCCTCTAAAACAGACTCCATCTCATCCAAATCTTGAGCTGTTATCTCAGCGGCTTTGTCCTGTTTAAAGTTCTCACTTGGTGATGTTTGTATTGCTTGTGCATGATCAATAAGTACTGCAGAAGATTTGGCAAACATTCAGGGTCAAATCATATAACTCTAAGTTTAACAAACAGAAATAATATGCACTTAACACAGCATTTTAAATAAGAATACATAAAGCCAGCTCTTTCTGTGATCCAACAAAGACCTTTTGGATAACATCAAATGGATAAAATGTGCTTTTGCTATTTATCTTTCCAAAATAAATAAATAAATATGAACTTACTTTCATCACGAGAAGTCTCTAAAGTTCTAGCAGTGTCATCCATATTTAGATGTGACACCATTGCTGTCTCAGCAGCTTTTGCTTCTGCCATATCTCTAACATTTTGTTCTTCTATTGCCTATTGACAAATTTATGCCATTCAAATAAAATGTCTGCACAAAGATTTTGTGATGTATTATAAAGAAACAAGCAAGTTGCATTAAGAATGGGAAAGGGGCTATTCGTTTGGATGCTTTTAAAACTAAAATTTTACCTTTTTATTTAACACATTGGACAGGTTATTTAAACTATGGCTATGAAATTTTTTTTTTTTTAAAGTGACATTTCTGCTAGTGAAAATCCTCCAAAGACTTTACTTTGAATCTTCAAAGCTGATTCTATTAGTAGAGGTATGAGTAGTTGAAAATAACCTAAATAATTTAATGCTTTAAAAAATGCACCCCTTAGAATCTGAAGAAAGCATTTTAAAAATCAAGTACATACCTTGATCTCTTTAGCTAATTGTTCTTTTTCAGCAGCTATGATAGCTTCCTCGTGTTTGATTATTTCCAATTTGGTCTTGTTGTCCACTATTTCACCAGACATTTCAGCAACCTTGACTTTAGCTTCATCTGCCTAGTGAAATCATTAAGTGATTCATTCAAAACAAGGTTTAAATAATAACAAAAAATGTGTTAAAGCGAGGACAAAAAAAATGATTTTGTTGTTAGCAGACTGTATTTTAGATAAACCAACCAAAAAGACGTATCAAATCATACTCACTGCAGTGACAGCAAGCTGTGTGATAGTAGCACCAATTTTCTCCTCAGGGGAGAGGGTTTCTGGGAGGTAAAGTGCTCGGGAAAGCAGAAGCAAAGATGTGGGTATTTTCTCTTCAAGATGGAGCTGCAGCCACTGCCGCATTTGTTCACGTAAACGCTCCTCTGGCACACCTAGAGCTCTCATGCCGCGAGCTCGGTTTGCTGACTGGAGTTCACTGATGCTCAAAGATTCTATGCCTTCTTTTTGAATCATCTGAAACAATATGTTAAAATAAACATAACTTTTCTATTAATTAGCTTTTCAACAGCCAGGTGATTGATGGAAGGAATGTGGCAGAAAAGTGACAAAAGTTGGGGTTGTTCTTTCTGTAACTATTTTACTGATGATTTTTTTTACAGTAACTTAGTATCCCCAAGACTTGAGTTTCACCTATATAGCAAATAAAGTTTATTGAAGTTTGATAAAAAAATTTAATCAATGTTAATCATATCTGAATAGTTAGCAAGTAGCCTCCAAGAATATATAGTTTTTATAATCGATACTTAAATTAAAAACATGTCACCTATTTCTAACGAAAACAAAGCCATAAAACTGAAATACTATCTAGTTTTCAATACAAATATGGGCCATCTTAACCTAGACAATCAGAAATTTTTATATTGTTGGTAAAATAACACCCAAAAAGGGTATGTAGCTACTTCAGGTCAATGGAGTCCATTAAAATCTAGTCTGTCTAAGTTAGTTATGGCTTTATGCGTGAAAATATAAGGAATTTGAAAAGAATCTAACTTAAACTTATTCTGATTTCTCTACCTTGTCATCAGCCCTAAGACCACGCAGTTTCATTTGAAGTAGAAACCGAAGCAAAGCATCACTGCCAATTGGTGTCACATTCAGCATAATGCAGCAAGCTCTCAGCTGCTGGCGGCTCAAATTATCAAGGGTGATCTCATCTTCAAAGAGCTTGGCGAATTTCATAATGTCCTTGGTGTTGGGCTTGATACCCTCATTTCTTATCTTTTAGAAAAGAAACAAATAATCATGCAAGATGATATTCTCAACTTAACTAAAAACATCTAAATTATTTATATTTAGTATCTAAAATAGTTAAGTGCTAGAAGTCAAGAGATTTGCTTGAAATAAAGCAAAGAAAAATATCCTGATTAAAGTTAAGTTGAAAAAAAAAACAAGTTTAAAACGTAAGAACACCAAGGACTTAATTATAGGTTCATACTTTATCAAGAAATGAAGCAAATGACTGAGCTGTCTGTCCATCCTGTTTCTTGGCTTGTACTGCGGACTCTTTGATAGTGTTTTGAAGAAATTTGGCCATTTCAATTTTAGCCTTTAAAGTTTTCTTAGATTTTTCTTTTTCAACTTTCTGTAGCAGAAGCAAATACATGTTAAAAACAAAGAGAAACGTCATTTAAGGGGCTAAAAGTAAAAGATATAAAATATTATAAATAGAAACTAATCTGCACAAGTGTTTTGAAATCACCTATGTCTTAATAAAGAATTCTGATATCTATTACTGTTTACCTTAATTTTAAGCAAACATTTTAAATTCTTTGTAAATGTTTAATTGTGTAGCCTTTTTTTAAGCTTCATCATAGTTCAACACTTATGTGCACAAGGAATTTGCAATAATATATTTGTAATACCCAGACAAGCAAAACAACAAGGGAACTCTGATCGGATGGTACTTGTCGACCCTAAGATGGTGGCTCATCTAAGAGAAGAAAACCCTGATTACAAGCCACCAATATCTTGTGACCGCAAACACATGGTTAAAGGCTAAGTATACCATTAATTTTGTTAATGCTTATTTTCAACTCAACACATAAGAAAATATAATGAAAACCCCAAGATGAAGATTTGATTCTTAAATCATATTCATCCTGAAAACTGTTAGCTTGTAATAAAAGAATTATAATAGACTTTATTGAAAATATGCCAACCTCATCTGTTTCTTTAAAAGTACTTGGCAACATATTTGGGAAAAAGTGGAGTGCAAATGGCAGCAGGAATTCAGCAAATGGAACAATAATAAACACCAGTAAAGGAACCAGTCTGAACATATCTGCAGTTGTACGCACCATCTGAGAAAAAAAAAAAAATCATTCCCAATAAAAAAAATATAAAAACATACCAGTCCAAATAATATCAAGTCTTTTTTAAAAAAAAATTATGAGAACATTACTACTTTCATTTTTGACACACTTTCTAAAAAATGAATCATTACCATATATAAGTTTGTTTTATTTTAGATTTATAAGATTTATAAGCAGTAAAAATAAATTTAATATCTCACCTGATTGTATTCTCTCCTTGTTAAGCTCTTGCCATTCAATAATTGCCACAATAATTTGGAGCATATTTGTATATCAATAGCAAGAAGTCGAAAACCATGATAATAATGTTTACATACACCAACAAATTTTTGCCACAACGTAGTTTTGGCTGGAACAACATCTTGTCCTTCTGGTTTTGCTACTTTGGCACTATCTTTCAAAGCTTTCACAGTTTTCTCCACTTTGGACTCCTCTTTCTTTAACAAAGATGATTTATAAAAGCCACGAATTTGATTGTAATAGGGATTTGAAATTTGTAATTGATGAGTCAATATTGCAGAATAAGAGGTCTGTATCTGTCTATAATTAACCAATTCCTGGTGAATCTTAATTAAATTAAAATGTTTTTTCTCTAGCCTCTTTTTCCAGAACTTATCTGATGGGGGTCTAAAATCTAATGCTATTTCAGATGGTGATATGAGATATTTTGATTTATACAATAGGCTGTATAAATTTAGCTGGCCATTTAGGTAAATTTTTGAGTCTGTTGGAACCTCTTTTGCTTGTTGGGGTCTGAAATAAAATGAATGGAAACTTAACATTGCACAATAAATTGACAGTGAAACAGTCAAATCAGCTCCAATGTTTATCATAAACTTTTCAATTAAAAAAAAATGTAATTTATCTCTAAATCATAAAACAACTATAGAAATCAACAGAAAAAATGTATCGGATTAAGGAAGTAATATATTGTTAATACCTTGTGTAGTTTTCTTTCTTATGGTAGGCATTTGAACAAGCTGAACAATACACAAGACTCCACTTCTTACCTGTAAAAATTTTTTTATTTAAAAAAAATAATAAGTATTGCATTTTATATTTCTGGAAATTATTTTTGTTCACTAGTTACAAGTATATTTTTTATATAGTTATCCATTGGTCTATCTGACTAAACAAACTTATTGAGTTTTTTTAAATTTCAGGAAATATAGTAGTAGTAATCAAAAACAAAGAAAATATAAATCAATATAAGCTTCTGGCCAATACAGCTTGCTTTGCTGCTCATTGCACATTATAAAGTTTTATTAGTAGCTAGTGCAATTGATCAACACATTGATCAAATACTAGCAGTAAGCTTTTCAAAGCCAATGACTGGGATAATTATGAATGAGTAAGGAGGACTCGAATGTACCGACACCACAAGTACCTAAAGTCAATATTTAAAATTGGAACTATTCTCAAAGCTTGTGACAAGAAATACAGCAAAGGGTGTGAGGTAGGGGAAAGGTAATTACAACATTTGCATATATAGATTTTGTTTAAACATATTTATTGTAATGTCTCCTCAAATCTCCACAGTATACTTTGTGAACTAATTATTAAAGCCAGATATTATAACCATAGGACAAGTTTTATGGTGTCTCCTACCCTCTGCTAAACTAAAAGGTAAATTTTTTAAAAATTTGGTAAGCCTGCAATAAATATATCTCAACTGACCACTGAATAAAAGAATAATAAATACCAATATGTAGGTACCATGCTGCAGATGCCTAAGTCGATTGTATGATTTTGAAAAATATAGAAGCTTCAAAGCAGCTGATATGGTGAAAGGGATTGCGATACTGACCTCTAGGAGAATGAAAAGTATGGAAGAGAAGGGAAAAAACTCTTTTTCTTTGACAGATGGCTGGTGATTTCCAAGACGTTTATTTTTTAGACAATGATTTGGTGAAAGGCATGTTTGATACTAGTTCTCAAAAGGAGAAGTTTAAAGCCAGTCAAGGGTGCTTTGAGAACTTTAAGAAAAGGACTGGGATCCATAAAGTTTGTGGGTACTAGGAACGGATTAATCTAGTTTCTATTATTTTAAAGAGGAACAATTGTCTTAACTCAATCAGGGTTCCAGAATAGATTAAGTTTGAATTCCAAGAGTCCACTTTCTTAAAATCCATACCTATCAAATAAGATTTAGTCAGAGTAGACCTACTCATTCTGATACTGGTATGGTATCTATTTATAGTCTGAGTATACAGAATCTTAGAATGTATAAAGGCCTGCTATATACTACAGAGCCTATTATTAGTATACATGTATTTAAATGTAACATTTTTTTATGTCAAGTCAGTCAAGACACAAGTTTAAGTTTAATGAACTTTAAAAAAATCTTTATTTCAATTCTTTCCATAATGAAATTTTAAATTGGTTGATTAGGAAGGCCTGGCTTAAGGCTTTGTGGCTATACTGTTTATATTTTTATATCTAGATAGAAGTTGGTAGTAGCTTAGACCTAGATGTAGCCAGTGTTTCTACAATTTCCTCGGGAGGGGGGGGGGGAAGGATAGTTGTCTGCCCAGGTGTTATTTTTTCTTTATATTGAGCGGTGGCATTTTCAAACAACTGCAGCGTTTATATCGTAAAAATTAACGTGGAAAAAAAATAAATCTCTTAAGGTGGGGCTAACATTAGACATGCCGTGGGCAGACTGGCTTAAGGCTTTGTGGCTATACTGTTTATATTTTTATATCTAGATAGAAGTTGGTAGTAGCTTAGACCTAGATGTAGCCAGTGTTTCTACAATTTCCTCGTGAGGGGGGGGGGGAAGGATAGTTGTCTGCCCAGGTGTTATTTTTTCTTTATATTGAGCGGTGGCATTTTCAAACAACTGCAGCGTTTATATCGTAAAAATTAACGTGGAAAAAAAATAACTCGCTTAAGGTGGTGCTAACATTAGACATGCCGTGGGCAGTGTATATATCAGCACCAAAATTGGTTATCAGTGCAAGCAATATTGCCATTTTAATTGGGAAGTAGTGCAGAAATCGAGCATCTCGATAACTTTTCTCTAACCAGAAAATTTGTGATTATTAAAAAATCAAAAGGTGCATTTGGAGTATACATGATTTGAATGTTGTGATAAAGACAGTTTAATCCGGGAAATACTTTTTCAAGCGTCGGGGCAGGCATTATGGCGCTTAGTGCCATCCATAAACTTAATTTATTCTGGTTGTGGTAGGCCCAAGATAATTATTTGACACAAGATTAGATTCAACCCTGTTAAGTCACAATGATCGAAGTCTAGGAAGTGGGGAGAAGAAATTGAGGAATCAGAAGAGTCTTGAAAAAAAAAAAATTAAATTGTACAAAGACCCACCAATAGTTGCAACAATAAAGAAAGGCAGACTGCCCTGGACAGGATAGATTGAAAGGCTGCTGGATTGTAGAGCTGCAAAAACGATCTACAGGCAGAAACCTAGGGGTAGACGCCTCACTGGTTGACCAAGAGGGATCGATGATGTAGAGAAGGACCTACACCAGCTGGGGGTTCGTGCATAGAGGCGGAAAGACATGATCAATCCAAATGGAAGGATGTAGCACCACTGATGAAGACATTTCAGACTTATGGGTGGGAAGTGCAAAAAATAGCCATAATAACAGGGACATCTGTAACTCTTCCACCAGCCCAACATGAACTAAATTCAATCAAGTTGGGGGACTTTAAGGGTATGCTTTTTGCCAATAGATATTGCCTAGCAACTTCCGGCAACAACAAAGGAGATCTTTAAAGTTTTTTATTGTGCTCTGTTTCCTGAAGAAGGCTCTAAGCCTAATCGTTCACATCTTATTGTCAAGCTTCTACACACCTTGTCCTACAATTTCATTCACACAGCTTGAATGCAGTCCTTCATTTATTATGCTTTTATGATGAAATATAATTTGAAAACAGACTGCACATGTTTAACACTTAACAAAGAACTATATTCAATTTATAGACCTTTACATCAATTTAAAGATAGTTTAATACAGTGTTTTTAAAGTCTTTCAGCTTTTGAAGATGCAAAATATTATTTTTATTTATTTATATCTTGGAGCTTCACAAATACCTTTAGGTATTTTAAAAAAATTTCCTATATATGCGAACAACAAATAATAAGATTGTGGCTTATGATAAGGAGCGACCAATTTTCAAAACAGTACGATTTTTATAATCGAATTCTGTAAGCCTGTAACTGTAACAAGATTAGCCTGAACAATATGGATCATCAATATATATCGAGAAAAGCAATATTTTATTGGTGCAATTAATTTTAAGAGATGAAAGGCACAAATTGCTTTTACATTTTTAAAAATGTTTTTTTTAACTAAAAAATTATATTTTCCTACGTCCACACATTTTTTTCGAGGGGGGGGGGGGGGGGAAGAGAGAGATTGACTTGAAAAGAGGGGCAGCAATCCAAACAACCCCCCCCCCCCCAGCATGCCTGAAAGAAAATCTGGATGTAACTAGTAACCACTCATTAATACAGCAATTTTTAGTAATGCAGCTAAATATTTTTTAAACTATATATAGGATTAAGTTTAGTAATTGTAACATTGTCATTATAAAACATTAATAATTAACATAAATACTAGTTGTAGTAGCACATAAATTATCAATAGTAGTAGCTGTATTAGTATTACTACAATTAACCTAAACTTAATTTAATAGAATAAAAATAAAAGATTAAAAAGGCTACATTTAAAGTTTCATTTATACGTTTACATTCAACATTGATTCAACTTCAAGTTTTAAACATCATCCGATCGAAGTAAAAGACTTCGAAGAGGTCATGAACAGGGGATGGAAACGTGCAAATTGTATCTTTTTTTAGAATAAAAATCAAACTATTTCAAGACATGTACTCATTGAAAGAAATACCTATATATGAAACTCTCCCCACCAAAGCAAATTGTTTAGTTATCATAGAAGACATTTTTCACCAAGTGGTTATTTTTTATTATTAGGCTATGTGAAACCATTACGGATTGAGGTCAGAGAGTAAATAAAAATTTCAGATTTGCACTTTTAACTAAAATGCAAAAAAGTAAAACATATCTAAAATAGTAATTAGAAATTAAAGATTGATAATATAATTTTATTTAATATAATGAAATAATTTCAAACATATTTTTTTGAATTAGTTTTTCGAAAGTATTATTTTTTTATAACATAATTTAGTTTGTTCTGTAAATCTGTACACTTTTTAGGCAACCTAGCAACATAGTGGCGTTGATAGTTACCACACTAATGTAGACGCTGTGGAATATTAATTAAATTATAATGTAAATAACATGTTGTCTATTTTAATGTATTATTTTCTTTCATTTCAATATTTAAATATCGTTATCAAATTTTCATAATAATTGCGAAAGAAAGAATAGCAAAAAAACTTTTAAGGGACGAAACTAAAAGCCTGTGGCCGTGGCGTGTGTGATTTTGAACGATCAGCGATGGCATGATTCAATGAATTAACTAACAATTATTGAATTATTTATTTTAATTATAAATCAATAATAATAAAACGTAACACAATTTACACATCCTTTCAGTTTCAGTAATGTCATATCTGTTTCAATTTATAAGGAGCAGAGACAATAAAATGTGTTTGTTCTTAAGAAAATAACATTTTTTAAACCAAAATAAAACACCTAGCCTTATAAGTATAAGCCTTAGCGAGCTCTTCTTACAGTACAGAACAGATTTATAAAAATTAAACTTTAAAAATGTTTTTTTAAAAATTTCTTCTGTTATGATGTTATCCCTTTTGCGGGAGATTATAATAATAATGTAAATAATTTAATCACGATACTCATGAAAATCTTAGACTTCCTTTAATTATTATATTATTAACATCATGAAATTATTATAATTATATAATACTCAATAATTTTCTAGACTTTAAAAGCAACGGAATGACTCAAATTAATCAAGGATATTGGCTAGCAGAAAGTATTAAAAACAAGAGGTTTGAAGACCAATATGATCTTGGAAAAGAACTTGGCAGGTAAGAGAATTAATGTTATTTTAACCCACGAACTGTGGTCGGCCGAAAAAATCGGCCGACTTTCTCGTTCTGTACTGTGGCGGCTGAAAAAGTTGGCCGATAAAAAACACGGTCCGATAGCAACCTCTAATCCAACATTTAACCGGAATTATAGCCACGTCCTTTTATTAATAATTAAATCATCTTCCGGTTCAAGCTGTTTCGTGATAACTTGAAAATAAATAATTTTTAATCGGAGTTTTATATCGATGTTTTTTTAAAGGCTAAAATGAATGAAGCCATGGCTGGGCCTTCAGTGCAAGAACTAATAGACATATATTTGAAAGCTTTTTAGGAGAGGTTTTAAGTGATACTGATGATGATTTTAATATTCCCATGACTATAACGATATCAATATGATATATCATATATCAGTTGAGATTATTCTTCTCGTGAATTTTTAGTCTTACTCTTTACTGTTACTGAAGTAGGCCTAACTAACTAAGGCTAAGGCTACTATAACTATAAGACTTCTGGCCAGGCCCGGAGGTTGGGCAAGGACTGACTGAATTTTAGTCACAGAAGCTACAGATTATAGTTCAGAACTAATAAATTGTATGTTAAACAAACCAAATCAGTTCCTCAGCTCCTTTTAAATGTTTACTTATTACTAGTCAAAAATAACTAATTTGCCTGAGATTTCGTATTTTGTACTTGGTTTTAGTTTTAGCAGTGGTCCCAGTTTCTTATATAAATGACCTAAAATTGCTTTCAGAGGTTTAATTGCAATAAAAACCTCAGCAAACTATACATTTTCAGAAAGATAAATGAATTGGCTACAACATTTAGATTTGTGGAGCACTTAAAAGCAAGACATTTTGTTGATTTTTTTTTTCTTGAAAAGGACAAGGATATTGATCAAAAAATTTTTTACGAGGGGGGGGTGGGGCAAATGGTCAACTTTATCCCCATCCATTTACCTTTCTAAAAATACCGGTATATACTTATAGGGGTCTTGTATCAATATTTTCATGTCATTTAATGCAATTTCAAATGGCACTCAAAACGCTCTGAAAAGCTCCATACCACAGAATGATGCATGCCACAGTTCGTGGGTTAAAAAAGTAAATAAAAGAATGTTTAAAGGCACAGTTGTACCTAAGGCTAAGGCAAGGGGCCATCCATAAATCACATCTTTCTATTTTAGATGATTTTAACCCCTTCCCCTCCCCCTTTTCCTCATTGTCATAAATTTTTAACACAAAAAGACACCTTTATAAAAAAAAAATTATTCATGGGCCTCCCTCCCCCTTAGATGTGTCATTTTGTTTATGGACAAATCATTTAATTAAACAGCAGAAAGCCTTCATCAAAAGGTCAAGAAAGAAAATTTAGAATAAAGGCATACAAATTTTGGAAATTTGAATTTTGAAATTAAGGGTTCAGTTTGAATTTCAGACAGTTCACACAGTTTAAATAAACTAGTCTACAAGTACCTAGAGTTTTATTAATCCAATGCAATATGGCTATAAAATAGGTCTTATTTTTTTAAAATTATTATTTTGTTTTTGTCCAAATTAACAGTTCAAATTTTGAAAAACATAACACGGGAGTGGTTATTAAACTTTATCAGGTAACACTAACACTACACCTAATTGATTGCAACATTTTTTGGGCATCCTTAATCTGTTAATAACTGATAACTTTGTGCTCTACCAAAGTTCATCTAGCCCCTTTGAAGGAATACCTGGTATAAAAAAATAGTAGAGTCAAGGTAATTAATTTTAAATAATGGTAGCAAAAGTCAACGAGAAAACTAATAATTTCCAATTAGATTTTCCTCTTTTAAGGTCTGGAGTGCATCCATTGCATTAATTATTGTTATTTATTGGTGAATAATTGTATATCAAAATTATGACCCTAGCCCTAACCTATATTTCTTTACCTTTTATGGAAAATATTGCAATCTAAGCTTTCAATTTCAAGCAGTCTGATCCTATGAAATATTATCCATATATAACTTAAGAATAGAACTTTTAAATAGAAGACTAGACATTTTAACTTTATGTTTACCAGAGGTGCCACTGCTATTGTATACAAATGTAATGCCAAAGGAATGGATCAAGCATGGGCAGTCAAGAAAATGGATAAACGGGTGAATGAATAATTTGATGATTAATATTTTCAAAATTCTAGTTTTACATGTTCTTTTCTAATTTTTTTAATTAACCATCATGATTAGTGTCTAATGAAATATATTCCAACATAATATTACTTGCCTTATGACAGTATTAAAAAAGTGTTTTATTTTTAAGTTAAGGTTATGCATGTTCAGATTATGCCATATCTAAAGCAATATACCGGTAACCAATAACAGATACTCATCAGTTTAAAAAAAAATTACCTTGATCTATAGTATATTTAAAGTCAGTTTGAATTGAAATAAAGGGTAGGGGTGTTGTTCACAAAGTATAAAACTTGTTCACAACTTTATAAATAGGTTTTCTTTAATAATAAAATTTCATCAACCTGTTCTATATCTTGACATGTTTTCTAAATAAAAACAGGAAGCATTGAAATTAAATTTGGCAAAGTTTTTAAAATGAAGCAGAAGAAACAGAGAATTAAACAAGCATTTGGTGTGGAAAAAATATTTTCAAGTTCAAGTAAAAATAATTTTACTCTTGTAAAAAGTAATTATATTTTTTTTAGGTTGAAAATAAAACTATTTTGACTGAGGTTGGGATTCTTCTCAAACTTGACCACCCAAATATTGTGAGTAGAAAATTACTTTGAAGAAATAAAATATTATTTTGTATATTGTAATTGTAGATTTCTAAAAGGGATCTGACTAAACTTTCACGAATAAATACTTTAAAAAATTTGAGTAAATTATATAAGTTTAAGCCATTGCACTGTTTTCAGTTCAAGTATTAGTTCCTCCTACACTTTGCAATGCATTGGGCTACAGTCAGGGCCAGTATTAGACTATTTTGTGCCCCAGGCAAGGCAAGCTATTTGTGGCCCCTTCAAAAATAAATAGTTAATTAAAAATTTCCAATTTCAAAGCTTTTTCTCTATATAGTAGCTCCAGCCCTGACTACGGCTGGGCTGATTTCCACATTTCCCTTTTATTTGCCATCTATAAAAGCTAATTCCCTCATTTAATTAAAAAAAACCATCTCTAAAAATATTTTGAGGCATTCATTGCTTCCTCTTTTATTTTGGTGGCCCTCAGTGTATAAGTATAAGATTTTAGCAATGTGATGCTGTGGTGAATGTATGGAACTGATTCTTTAAGGAGCAACTGTACTTTCCTGGCTCTGTATTCTGCTCCTTTTATCTCACTGTTGCTTTAAAATGTATGAAATAATAAGTAAAAAGGAATAAAAATCTACATTTCAGATTTTAAAAAGAATATTGATAAAGAATTTACTTCTTTAAATACGGTACCCGGTATATTTGTTTGTAAAGTTTATAATAAACATACAATTTTAACATGTTAAACTTGGATTAAACATGACTTGTGCTTAACTGGATATATATTTTAATTATTGTTTTATAGGTACGTATGAAAGAAGTGTTTGAGTCTGAGGACTATGTCTACATTGTACTAGAGCTAGTAACTGGCTCAGAACTTTTTGAAAGGTACTGTTTATAGTCAGATGACCATGAAATTAATTACCCCATTTTTAATGACAATGTTTGAATGAACTCTAGAACTACCTAGTTTTATTTTAGTTTAAGTTGCTTAATTCAATGTTTTGCTGAGGATGTAAGGCAGGAGTGGCCAACCCCAAAACTTTGCGGGTCACTTTGATAGCAATTAAACCATTCATGGCAGCATAACATTACACCTTAGATTAAAATAAACATCCACTAAATGCTGTTTAGGAAATAAGTGAAACAAAGTATGAGAATACCCGAAAAAATGAATGCAAAAAAACAACAAACGTGTCTGCAGGAAGCCTTCATCAGTGAACAAACTACAGTAAAAACAGAATAAAATAAAAATAGCACTAAGCTGAAAAGTCTGAGAGGGCAGCAAAAGAATTGTTATTTGTTCACACAATTGGAAGAAGTTCTTAACGGGGGGGGGTCTGGAGTTCAATTACAGCAAAGACCAGTCGTGAATGTGTTATACTAACACGTAGTTCAGTTTGTTCTCGAGAATGAAGCTGGGCATTTTGTTTAACTTTTGTTTTGGCTTAAAAAATGTTAAAACATGATAAGAATTATTATCCATCGATAATGTAACACAGCCCCCACGTGACTTGCCGACTGCTTATAACTCTCAGGGTTATACGCAGTCGGCTGCGCATAACCACTTCGTTAATTTTTAAAGTAATGACAAACCCGGTGAAGCGACTTCTCTGCTTGCCCCCCCCCCCGGCTACTTTTCGGTTTTGTCCTTCCCTACCCAGCATTAAAAGTTGATAATTAAAATATTTAAACCACAACTTTAAGCCCCTAAAATATATGAGGCCAAATGCAGCTGTACGGTTGACCTACGGTCAAAAGACACCTAAAAATTTAACTAGCATGTTTCCCGTTGCTCTCCATTTAGGTGTATAATGATGCAAAACTTGGTACAAAAATGAATTCTTGCATTTTGAATTTATCAAAAAATTTCCGGGGACTAAAAAGATTTAAATTGCGAGACTAAGAGAGGCAGTATACTTTAGAAAAAAGCATATCCTTAAGGACCCTCAACTTGATTGAATTTAGTTCATGCTGTGCTGGTGGAAGAGTTAGAGATGTCCCTGTTATTATAGTTATTTTTATCGCTTCCCACCCAGAAGTCTAAAATGTCTTCGTCAGTGGTGCTACATCTCTTGTAGGCCCTTGCCTGCTCCACCACATCATTCCATTCGGATCGATCACGCGCGAACCTCCAGCTGGCGTAGGTGCTTCTCTACAACGTCGATCCATCTTTAGTCTTGGTTGACCGGTGAGCCATCTGCCCCTAGGTTTCTGCCTGTAGATCGTGTTTCTGCTCTGCAATCTGGCATCCTTTTAACATGCCCTGTCAAACGCAGTCTGCATTTTTAAAAATTGTTGCTTCTATAGATGGGTCTTTGTACAATTGATGTAGCCCTTGTTTTTTATGGATTCCCCAAACAAAATTGTCTATCACCGGGCCATATATTTTCCTGAGAATATTCCTCCCCATGTATTGAGCAGGTTCTCTGCTTTTCTGGTAAGGACCAAGTCTCACTTGCGTAAGTTACTACTGATCTAGTGATAGTCGTGTATATTGCCTTCGTACTTTCTCTTGAGAGGTTTTGGCTTCCTAGCAGCTTTTTTAGGCTGAAATAAGGAAGGTTGCCTGGTGTTATCCATTCTTTCATCCCTGCCATTATCTCATTGTTCTAATTTAGTCACCCCGCGATATTTGAAGAAAAAAAAACGACTCTCAAAGATGTGGTTGTTTATATTGATTTTGTCATCACTGTGCGTGTTTCGTGACATTATCATATAAGTTGTCTTCGCTTCATGTATTTCTAGAACAGCTTTGACCGCGGCTGTTATAGAGAGCTTGTTTACATAATATTTCTCGTGCGTGCCCTCTGGTTGACCCCGCATGAGACGCTGTGTTCACAAAGGGGTGTGGCTTAGGTCTTTGATGTATTCTTGTTTACGCCGCCAACGAATAAAAATAATTAATCTGTTCCAAATAGTATTTGGTAGAATGATTGGGATTTTTCTCGAAATGTCATGTAGCTTGTAGAAGGCAGGGCTTAGGCGTCGGTAGACCCACCTATATAAGGGATTGACAGGCACGACGAGAGAGGGAGATTTTCTTATAGATTCTCTTAACATTTCGGGGCGTGTTTTATTCTTTGTGTATTTGTGTGCTCCTACTTATATGTGTTTATTTCGCATTATTTATTGGCATCATTATTTCTAATTGTATTAACTGTGTACCGGTACGAGATCTACCATACTGTAAGTTGAAGATTGTAATTTTATTTTATTTTGTAATTATCTTAAGACATAATAAATCTTAATTAATTGTAACTAGAAACTGTTTTGGGTCGTATCCTTAATATTGTTGATTCTATGGTATCGTCCTTTGTTAGGCACTGCTTACAACGAGCCAATTAAAATTAAAATAGGAGAATAATTTCTCCCAATACAAGTCAGTGCGTAACAGCGGCACTTTGAAGTTTCCTGAATGCTTTAAAATATAGTTGGTGTATGTTGATGTTGTATTCGTAGCATTTCTTCAAGAGACATCTAATAGTAAAATATGAAAGTCTGAAATGCCCCTTCACACATTGTCTGAAAGAAACAATAAATTTAAATATGCATCAATATGCATCACTGCATTTTGATTTTATTTATAAAAAATTAAGATGACCCCGGTCCTCGCTTTTGTTAAAGACTCTCCGTTCGGATTCCTCAATTTCTGCTACCCCCTTCCTTGACGTCGTTCAATGTGACTTAATGGGGTTGAATCTAATCTGTGTCAAATGATTATCTTGGACGCACCACAACCAGAATGAATTTAGTTTACATATGGCACTGGGCGCAATAATGCGCCCCCCCCCCCCCCCTCTGAAAAATTCTTTCCCTTGATCAAATAGTCTTATCAAAACATTCAAATAATGTAAAACGTACCTCTTGAATTTTAAATAATCACACATTTTCTGGTTAGGTATGAGCCATCGGGATGTTTGATTTTTGCCCTAAATGGCAGTATTGCTTGCTTTCTTTAACAACATTTTCATTGATTCTGCATTATAAAATTTAAGTGTAAAAACTTTTTAACTTGTTGATTAACAAGCTAAAGATGCAATAAAAAATGTTCTTACAATTTTGTGTTATTAGAATAGATCATCACAAAGTAAAATGTATTTATATATTTATTTATTATTTTTTAATTTGGGGGGGGGGGGGGGGGGGGAGGGAAGGGGGGGTATAAAAATTTTGAAAAATTAATTGGGGGGGGGAATTAGAGGGGGAAAAGGGGGGGGGGGGGGTGTCAAAAATTACTTAAAATTTGTTGAAGTAATTTAATTAATGGACGACCCCTTAGAAAAAATTTTCTTATTCAGTGCTATTCACTGCTATACTATAACAAAATTCTTAATAAAAACTTTAAAAAAGAGGTTTCTCATTGTAATTAGATACTCTCATCAACCAAATTAAGGGTAATTAAAGTAATTTCATTTTGTAAGGGCTAGTAAAAATATACATTTTTCTAAATTGTAATTATACAAATGTTGCACACTAATTAATTATTATTTTTTAAAGTTTAAAATAAAAAATCTAGAACTAAAAAAATGGGTGGTGGAAATGTTACTGACATAGTTAGAAATTCAACTGCTGTGATGAATAGGGCCTACTTGTTAAATATTAAAAGTAATTTGGAGCATGGGACACATTTCACAAATAGAAGAAAAATCTTTATATTTTCAATGCAATTTTAAAGATAGCCTACATATTTAAATTTAATTCACAGAATTGTTTCACAACAGTTTTACTCAGAAGAACAGGCAGCTACTGCAGTTAGAGATATAATTACTGCTGTTGAAGTGAGTATGAAGTTTTGAGTAACAAAGTTTACAAAATAGACCTATTGATTGTCAAAAAATCTAAAGAATAACTAAAGATTATTTTTGGGGAGTTAAATTTACATCAAAATAAACTTTTGCCCATTTTTTCCACTCTCCCGTAGCTATTCATGGCAACACAGGTGACAGCTGCTGAAAAATGAAGATACTATTTTAAAAATACAACAATTCACCTCTCTCCATGCACCTGGATATCCCATGGAATTTCTCCGGGTTTTGATTCAGAGTTGCCATCCAAGGTTAAACAGGTCCCATCCACCTGAGGTGCTGGTGATGTTTTTGCTACTTGGGTTTTTGGCGGGCATTGAACTCCAGAGCACAAGCTTGGGATTGACTCAGTTTACACCACTTGACCACCCATCACCTATGCAATCGTCTCTAAAACCATTTAAAAAATGCATCCATGCGGTCCTCGAAAATATTTGAACAAATTGTACCGTACTAAGCAGCTTTTGCTATGATATTTTGCTGAATGTACATACACCAATTATTAACCAATCTTTTTCAGTCAACTCCTCAATGTAGAACCATCATGGTCAACAAATGTTTGGAATGTTCCACTTCATTTGTAAATTACTTATAACTGGAGGTTTTATGCACATTTTGTCCCATGCAGTCCAAGAAAAGTTACACATATCATTATCATTATGAATTATCCTCCCTCAATAAACTTTTCCCACCAAAGTTGACAACAAATAGTAATGAGGTTCAAGTCAAAGGGAGATTGCAGCTGGTTTTTTTCATATTGATTACAACAAAATGTACAAAAACATAAAATCGTTGGAAGAAGCTGCTATTTTTTAGTTTGTACTTGTTTTATAATTTAAGAGACTGCTTTGAATTTTCCCAAGGTCTTGTGACCTTAAATTTCAAAACATTGCAGAGGGCTTAAAATTAATATCAATGGTTTGTAAATTTTAAGTGTTTAAATTGTTAGCTTTGAAACAAACACATATATTTAAAACTGTTAATGTGTGTTCTTAAAAAAGTTGCTAATCATAAATTCAAACATTGACTTTGACAAATTTACAAACACATATTTCAGTATCTTCACCATCATGATGTAGTTCATAGAGATTTAAAGGTAATTAATATAAATGATTTACACAATAACCATAAATTCAAGTTTAAATTCTCATTAATAAAATTATTAATTTTGAAGATTAGAATTTCCTACCCTCTCACAACACCAGTCATATTTATTAAGATCAAGCCACATTTAAATTTGTAATTTTTTAGTGTACCGTACAGTTTATGTATTATTCTATAAAATATAGTGAGAGTATCATTAACTTATAATATTTTCAGCCTGAAAACATTTTATACGAAAATCTTTCACAAGATTCCAAGTTAAAAATTGGTAAGGATTTTTACATTTGATTTACTTTATGTTATCTCAAGTAGATCTAATATTTATTTTTTTTGTTCAAATATATTGAAACCCTGTGATTATGCAAATTTTGATATAACAAGGTCATGGAATGGCTCCTGACATTTCATATACTCATTCACATTAATATTTTAACCTAATTGTGTGGATAACATGGCATCTGGATTTAAATATAACAAGATCTTGAAATTTATGTACTTCTTCTTATTTTTCTTGCATCCCATTTTTTTACATTAGACATGAATACACATATAGTTTCTTGGAAAAGTAAAATATTTATAACCTTGCCTTTAGCGATGTTGTTATTAATTTAATCCCATATTATGGATCCAAATTATTGTGTTATAGCAAGGATTCACTGCAATTAAAAAAAATCCTCTGATCTGGTCAAAAGATGCATTGCTATTTTCTTTTTCAGCTGATTTTGGCCTATCGACAATAGTTAGTAACAAAGTGTCTTTAGTGACTGTATGTGGAACACCAGGCTATTGTGGTAAATTAAGTCTTCTTTAACTTTGATGTTCAGTGGGTCCATAAACAGCAATACCAAACCCCCCCCGCATTAAATTAAAAATAAATAAATCCATAATCAATTTTTGTGCATTAATTATTTAGGATATAAATTATAGAATTTGACAGTGCAGTACAAATATCACTTTTGGCTGATATTTTCAAGAGGCATTATTTCATTTGTATGTTTATTAATAGCTATGCACTCTATTTTCTTATCTGCATTATAAATAAATATGTATAATAATTCATTACAGCTCCCGAAGTATTAAAAGGAGAAAAATATCATAAAAGCTGTGACTTGTGGAGTGTGGGAGTGATTATATATATATTGTAAGTATAAAAGAAATAAAACTATTGTGGGAAGAAGTTGGGAATACTCATTTTAAAATTGGGTATTTTCTAACAATTGTTGCACACCTAATATTGTGTTTAATTATGCGTGTGTTTTGAGAGATGTTTTAGTGAATGAATGCTTTTCCCCCGCCATTAAGTCGGTGACCTGGATATTTATTTTAATTATGACTATTGTCTAGACCAATGCTGTTCAACCCACGGGCTGCATGCTGATTTTATATGGCCCGCCCCAGCCTGAGAAATTCTTATAAAGTGTGTAGACAGCGACGAGGCCATGACAGGCAATTCAGACACTCATTTGTGTCTATTGCCTCAAGCCTTCAAACCCCCAGTGCATGATTCCCTCACAAAGTGGCACTGGAAATCATTGAAATGTCCTCATCAACACCAGGCACAGAAACATTGCAAATCCCCTCTACATGCATAGGAGCCAAAATGATAAATAAATTGATCGTGGGCCCTTAATATATAGAAGAAGAAGAAAAAAAAAAAATGATTTTAGGGTGAAAATATTTTCAAACCACATTCTTTGATTCAGTTTTGTTTGGAAATCACATTAGAGCAAAGGAGAAGTTGTAACATGGAAAAGTGGGAGGTTACACAAATTATGGCATCAAATGGCTTGACAGGAACCAGTAGTGTTGAGGACATCAGCAGAGCAACCATTTGGGAACCTGGATGACATAAAAATCGGAAACTATCTCTTCTCTGTCTTCCTGTTGCTTGTATAAGGGGGCATCACGTGGTTATCTAGTATCAGGTAAAATTACTAGACTAGTGGCATTGGGAAAGATACTTTTGGTTTCTCTATTCAGCTTGATGTGTACCGGTAGCTATTTAGTCATTGTAAAAATGTAATGCCCCCACCAACGGGACCAACTTAGATGAAATAGATAGTGAGCATAGTGAGTTAACTACTGCCAGGAAAGTCTTCAGGTCAGAGTAATCGAGATGGGAGAAAAGGTACTAAAGGTGTCACAATAGAATGACTACAGTGGACAGTGTGAATCATTTATTGACCATCTTATTTAAATAGGAAGTCTAGCCAGGTATGGGAGTGTGTGTGTCCATCCTGTATTGTTGTAACGTTGGGGACAAGAACCTGGTATTTAGAGATCAAAGTATGTGTAGGAAGCAGGATAAAAGCTATGATTGCTTGTAGAAAGTACAATTCATTCAGGGAGGAATCGTGTGAGACAGTAGGAATGATTCTTGAAAAGTATTTTTTATAAACAAACTTAAGAATGTGTGGCCAAATAAATTCTGGATGACGTTTACGTTTCTTCTGTTGAATTTCCACAACTATGGAATTGTAACAAAATGTTGACCATGTTTTTGGAAGCAGCCTACATTTAATAAAGCTGGATTCTCTGTAATGAACAACATCCAAAAATGTAACATTTTGACTGGTTAACATTTAAAAAATCAATTGAGGCCAGGTGCTATTGGTAACTATCTCAAATTAAGAAAATTACAAGTACAATTCAAAGCAAAATATTTAATTAAAAGGGCTATAGTTTTTATTTGCTTTATTTATATTCTTGATGAGCCGATAATACTATTGGATATATGACTCTATGCATAAGGTAAGAAGTATTAATAACATGAATATTTTTCTATTGAGATGTCATTTGCGGCCTTTGAAAAAATTTTTTTGGCCTACATAGTAAGGGTTGGACAGCACTGGTCTAGACTGTCTTTGGCATACTTGCATTTTCGTTGAGCAGAGGATGAGAGAACTTGGTACTGAAATGTTGTCTCAGCCTTATCCTCCTACTTATACAGAGCTGTGTTAGGCATGTGTTTAATTCATTGTACAGCCTGATAGATATGTTTATGGATTTAAATATACATTGCCAATGGAAGAGGACTTGTGTTCAATGGGGTGAAGGTGTAAAAGAATTTGATGAAAGAAACCATTAAAATACAGATAAGTCCAATAACTTAAAAATTACTTAATTTCTTCCATGAAATATCTCTTAATCCAATTAAAAAAATAACCAGTTGAATAGGGTGATCTAGATGCAAATTATGTTTGTTATCGGTAATCATTTTTAAAGATACATTTTTAAAAACTGTGTGTGACAAAATGGTTGTTAAATATTTTCTAATTAATTAATGATTAGCTAAAATTTGTCGAAGGAGTTAAGTTAAAGCCTGGAAGAAGGACTAGTTAATACTTAATAAAATTTATGAATATTTAGGAGTGAGCATCAATTTCTGTTGATAGTTTTACAGCACATAAGTTACATCATTCTTCTTGAAATATGAATTGGAAATTAATGAAACTCCTGCATTTACTTTTTTGTGTTTTTTTAAAAGGCTTAACTTTAGGGTGGTTAAAATTTCAGGTTTCTGGAATTGAAATTTAGAAAAAAATTCATCTGGTTAATAATGGATACAGAATATTAACTCATACTTTATTTCAGGTTGTGTGGGTATGAACCATTTTATGCTGAAAATGAAGCCGAGATGTTCAAAAAGATTTTGAAAGCAGATTATACATTTGATTCTCCATGGTGGGATGATGTCAGTGATAACGCCAAGGTCAATACTACATAAAAACTTGTTTTTTACAACGGAAATGTCAAATCTCTTTTGATATCTCTTTTAATCCATGTTTTCTATTTACATTTCATATTATATGGTTTCTCACATTGATACCAGTTTTATATGATTCTGTAGCCTAAATTTAAATAACTATTAAAATTCAAGTGGAATACAGGCCATCTGTTAATTCTATCAATTCTGCTCTGTCTGTCGCCATCCTCTGAATGTCTCTCCATCCCATTCCCATCACAATTTTTTCATGTTCCAAAGAAATTTGTTAGACGGAAAATTGCTTACTGGTATTTGTTGGAATGGAAGTTTATCATTTGTTTCTCTTACTTAAATTGTTATTTTAAAATGCTTAGATTTAGTTTAATTGTTTTATAAAAATGGCTGTGGATTCAAAATTATATGTTTCTGATATAAATTCTCACAAAATACTTCAAGACTAATTTGGACATTGAGAAAATTTAAAACATCACAACTCAAAATAAAATATTGTAAAGGCTATCGTTAAAAATTAGAATTGATTTGACCTTTTGTCAGCCTAATATTTTCTGATCTACAAAACAAAACAAGGATGATGTAGTATAACCATGATATAACTTAAGAAGGAGTCATAGAACTATTTACAGTATATTGACATATGTCCTGATTCATAGGATTTAGTAAGAAAACTGCTTGTGCTAGATCCAACTAAGAGATTGACAGCAACTGCGGCCTTAAAGCATGTATGGGTAACAGGAATTGCTAACAAGAAAACACATAAAGAGGATACAATTGAGAGGATAAAAGAATTCAATGCCAGAAGAAAACTCAAGGTAAACAGGCACAGTGAACAAACAGAATCTTTTCTTAAATTATATTTCATCAAATTTATAAATCATTTTCTACTCAATGTACACACAAGATAATTTTATATTAAATTTAAATACCAGTAACTCAAAATTTAATTTTAAATATTGTGTTATTCAATATGTTGCTCTTAAAATCAGAGTAATTTAATTGACTATAGCTGATTTTTTAAACAAAATCTATGAAGGTTTAAGAGCTTATGAAAAAAGTAAAGAATTGACAGTTTAGCTGTTTAAATTTGACACAAAATTATTTAATATTTCTAAAGTTTGCAACAGATGCACTTATGGCAGTGGCTGGAGCAACTAAGAGGATACCTTTATTTCAACAGCGGGCTGCAAATCCAGCCTTGGAAAATCCACATGGAGAACAAATGGAGACTAACTAAGAGTATCTTTTAAAAAAAAAAAATGTAATGGTGTGAGTTCAATTTGTTAAAAATGCCAGAATTAACCGATTAACCCTTTTTGTAAATTACTATATTACAACCCATCAGCGTTAAAATTTACTGATGTTGTGAGCGCTAAATTTAAGTTGAACATTGGTGATTTTTTTTTTACTTGGTTTCTAGCATTAATTAACAGTATACATAAATTTAGAATCAAGTAAGTTTTACATTTTAATTTGTAATACTGTACTTGAAATGAAACTTAATTTTTAACATTATGAGTATGTAATATTGGTATTAGCAAAAATGTTGAATATTATTAAGTATTAATATAATATTTAATCTTGTTTTTCAATATAGTTGTGATCTTTCCTTTTTGCTTTGTATTTGTTAAAAAGTGGCTCTGTGGTGGATTTGTTCATTCTCTAAATTTGTTAAGACACATCCACTCTGATCTTTTGCAGTTACCTAATGCTCTTTCATATTTATGAAAGTATTGATTTTTTGGCAAAATAATTGAAAATTGAGCTACTGACAGTCTTTATGAGCTGTACAGATAATTCAATGAAACACAATGTTACAATGAATACAACTTTTAAGAAATGTATGATAGTGCAAGATTTTATTGCTTAAGGTTTATTTATTTTTTTAAAACAGAATTATTATGTAATTTAATTTTAACATGATGTATATTTAAAATATTCAGTACTTATATTTCATAAATCAGGGGTAGGGATACTTCGGCCTTGACCTCCTAACTTCAAGGTCTTCAAATACAGTCTTTTGACTGAATCTAAATTTTACAGAACGAGTCCTTTTTACTTATTAGTTTTCCATGTGCCATATACATAAACAAATTCCTGGATTATTTTTAATAGCATTTTAGAGCATTTTTACATGTACCCTGATTTATCAAATTTGTAATATAATTTATGCTGGCAGACTTTTCTAGAGTATGTCTTTACCACCTCCACTACTTGTTTTTTTATCAGGAATTGCTATTCACAAAACTTTTAGATTATAATAAAATATATGTGTATGTTCTTTTATTAATAAAAATGACACAATTGACAAATAGTTTTAATTAATTAAAAAAACATAATATATACAATTGTTTTTATGTTTATGTAACCTTTGTTTCTTGTCAGCTGCCTTAGGCCTTATTTGATGATAAATAAATGATTGGGGCTTCCAGCATGAAATGTTTCCCAACCCTGACCTGAATAATTTTATCGCTTACATTTTTGCAGCTTTCATTTTCACATCAACCCCAGTCTGGCAGAAAGTCCAGATTAAAACATCATTTTAAAGAATTCAGACTTGAGATATTGGTCACCTCAGCAGATGTATTTGAAAACTCTGGAAATAATTCTTAAATTATTATTAAAAGGTGCTAGTGTAGTACAAATAAAAGTTATTTCAAATTATTTAAATCATTTCATAATAACTTAGAAGCTTATAATCAAAGTAGATAGTCAAAGCACTTGTAACGGGATTAATATGTCAAGTTTCAAAGCACTTGTAACAGGATTAATATGCCAAGTTATACTATTCTAAATGTCATTAATTTAAAAATAAATATATATTTTTGACAAAGTTTTCTTGACAAAACACAGACTTTAACTTTAATAGATTATTTAAGAGGCATTTTTTTTTTACCACAGGCTTATATTATTTTTGCACATATTTTAATTAATGTAAGAACCAACACACTTAATATAACACTTAACTACTCTTTGTGTCCAGAAATCAATATCTGTGTTCACAAACTTATTTATAGAACTTAATAAAATCTACAGACTTTATAATTAAAACCTATACATATGATTAAGATTTAAATAATTAATTTTTATTTTGTGATCTAATTATTTGACATAATAGAGAAACCAAAACTTTACTCATAATTAACGATTCTGTTGAGCTCATCAGTGAAAATGTATTTTTATATCTTTTGTTAAAAATTTTGGCCATTTAGGTTAATAAGCAAAAAAATAAACAACTTAGAATAAAAAAAATAAAAAGCTTTTCATGTAAGAACATTTGACACGTGAATATTATTTATCAATATTAAAAAATATATTAGTAATATTAGATATAATAAATATTAGTAAAACTATATCTGAGCTCAGACAAATTGATAATGTTACTAATGCTACTTCAGCTCATAAACTAAACAAAAAAACCTGAGAATTTTCTGAGAAACAAAACATTGAAAATAGTTTAAATAAATGTCATAGCTGAAACAAAATTAATGTAAATTGGGTGCTAATTAAAAATATTTATTGCTTTTAGGATGATTTACAATAAATAAGATACACAAAACACTAACTAAAATTACTAAACTAGATAAAGGCATCTGATTTTATTTCAAATAAGCTAATAATGAGAAACAATAGGGCTGTTCTGAATAGTGAGTATTATAATTTAATTTATTATTATTAGGTACACAACAAATAAAGCCTACAAACCATGTGATACAATATGATTAGTGAGTCTCACTTGATAGCATGCTTCTTTACGTCTACTGACACTTTGTTTTAATTAATTATGAAGTGGTTTGAAGTAATGAACAATTAGCACATGACAAATTAATTTTCAACATAAACAGAAAAGTAAACCCAATCCCCTTGATTAAATAATTAAAACTATACAAATAAAGTATAACTTTGTCCATTTAGTGACCCCAAAAAGAGCACTGCCTAATATATTGATAAAAACATGTTTTCCTTTTTTGAAAAGAAATTTTCACCAAATAATTCAAAACAATGGGACTAATTGACTAATTGATATTTGCTAACATGCTTTTAGGCTGGTTTACGATAAAAGAAAAGGCTGTTGACTCTTTATTAAACCAACATAATTTAATTTTCTTTTATGATGTGAAATGTTATGCTTGTCACTGCAAGATAACCTACAAATTATACAACATTATAATTATCATACTTGCAATAGTTTAAGGACTAGAAGCTTTGCCATATGCTTGTTGATAAGGCTTTGTGTAGTGGTGATCTTCAAGTTTGGAATTATAGTTTTCATTAAAAATGTGCACTCTTCCAAACTTGGATGTTTTGTGCATCTTCTTTCGTTGTGCAGCCCTTTCAAAAAGCCAGTCAGAAGCACTTTCTTGCTTTCGAATTTTCTGCCTATCCTCAGCTTGTTTCAGATACCAATTGGCAGATTTATATTGGTGTTGAGAATATTTTAAGGCAGCTCCACATTCGTTAGTACCCTCATCACATGCCAAGTGTAAGCTGGATCTTTCCAAAAGCCAGTCAGCTCTATGTTCTTCTTTGCGCTTATCTTCACGATACTGTGCTTTTTTAAAAACCCAGGTTGACTGAGGGACCTCATCTAGCTTCTTCTCTCTAGTTTCAGCAGCTGATTCCGAAACCCAGTCAGATTTTTCTTTCTCCCTCCGATTTCGCAATTTGTCTCTTGCCCTTTCCAAAAACCATTCCTCTTCCAGAGGCTGAGTGTCATTGACTTCCAGGTGGTTATTGTTCTTGCTAAGTCTGGTATATTCATCTTCCTCTCCATCTATTGCAATACTAAATCCTTTATTCTCAGAGCCACTTAAAACATATTCATTGTTTTCTCCATGAAGCTCTTCAACTGACTCAGATTTCAGATTGCTGGTCTCTTGTCTAAAATGATCTTTCAGATGACTTCTGCAATGTCCTTCATTTAAATTATCTTGTAGCCTGATGCTATCACATTTGTTGACTTCTAATAGGCCTTCATTATTTTGGTGCATTGAGTCGGCTGCAGTTAACCACCAGATGTTTTGGCAGTCTACCCAATCCAGATCAGTTTTCAAAAGAAGCTTGGAATTTCCCCATTGTTTCTGAAAAGCTCTTAACTGTTTGTAAACTGAATCAACTCTTTTTGTGTGATTTAGAACTTTAAAATAGTTTACATTTGATATTTTTAGAAGCTGGGTGAATTCATGATTAATTCTCTTCAAGTTTTTCTTAATTTGTTTTCTATCAAAATTACATTCAGCTGTAAACTTTCCAATTACAGTGCAAGGATCCCTATAAACTTCTTTTTGCCATTGTTTTCTGGCCTTGTAAACACACTTGCTGTGAATGTCAACCATTTCTTTACCCTGCCTAAACAAGGCTTTTTGCAAATCAGTGCAAAGCTTTTTAAATTTGGAAGATACACTCATCACTCTGTACTTCAAACCTTTAGCCATATGAATAATTGATGGTTTTTTCTCATGCCACATTGTCTTGAGACTTTGCCAAGTTGATTTTTCATTATGCCACAAGGATTTGAGATTGTGCCAGGTCTTCTTCATTTTCTGACCGACAGTGACACCAGTTTTCTTAATAATCTTGCCTAGTTGCTTGTGCCATGAATTCTTTTTTACATCATCTATACAAGAACTGAAGTCATCCACAGAAGTGATTTGAACTTTAGTGGTCCTCCGCTCTTGTGTTGCTGCTCCTGAATTTTCGAAAGTTTTACCTTTAGCTTCATTTACATCATCTTTGGTACTAAGTTCTTGTTTGAGGTCAGAAAAAACTTGTGTGATAAGTTCAATTATTTGCAGCCTGGAGAGCACAAAATTCTCACCACCAAATGTAAGTTCATCAAACTTATTAATGACGTGATCTGCAACAACCAAGATTTTATTTGAGGCTATGTACTCCAGTACTTGCTTTACATCAGAGATCCTGTTCCAGAGATATTCAACACGTGTTTCCTTGTTTGGCCAGTCCTTAATTTCATTCAGAACTTCATTGACATAGTTGTAAAGCATTTTCTTGTCTGCTTTTGACTTTTGCAAAATTCTTTCATTTTGTGAATATTCAGCCTGAATCTCCCTCCCTCCTCCCCAGACTCTCTGAATGGAATCAAGTACAGACTGCTTCAGCTCAGCAACACCAGAGAGTAACAGAGAAAGATTAGCAAAATCATCAAATGCAGAGAGATTCCACCTGCCTATTTGCTGGGCAAACATGGTGATGTTTTTAAGACATTCCACTTGGTCTAACTGTTCTTTCTCATGTTCCCAAAGCTCACGGTCTCTCTCATCTTCCAATTCTTCATTTTCTCGTTCCCTCTCTCTTTGACGTCTCTCTGCCAAGTAGAGTTGCTGCCAGTGTAGAGCCCTTTGCTGTTCTCTTGTTAGAGACTGTTGAAGATGTTTGATATCAAGAACGATAGGGAAAGCTGCAAAAGCTGTGAAACAAAATTAATAAATATGTAATGGTTGTATATGTAATTAATTTCCCCCAAAATGATTATAAGCAAAAGTTTTATCAGATTCAATATTTAAAAATGAAAATGACGTAAATACTGTGGTTTAAAAATCGCGGTGGGTCAACTTAATTTTTCTTATACTTATAGTTACCTTTGGGCACAGAATCCACTAACAGGTGATCCTGCTTAAATTCATCATCAACTTCTAAAGCTATGGGGTTCATTTCAAAGGGAACTATTTCTTTATCTGGCATATTCACCTTAGACTCAGCGTGTGAATCTTCAGAACTGTTACCTGGATTTTTATGACTCAAATGTTTTGTCTCCTCTGGAAAGTTTGGATTTTTCAACAATGCCAGCACTTTCAGGTGGCAAGCACTGCTACCATCTTGATTACTTTTTTCACAATTTATGTAATCTTGGACAACTTTTTTTAACAAGTTCAAACCTTGTTCTGTGCTTTCCTTTCTCATTAATGACTGAAAAAAATATATACACAAAAAAAATTCTTTGATATACAAAAATTGGATAGTTTGATTTAATTTTGACATTTAGATTGATTAAATTGTTTTTAAAAAGTAGTCTTTTTTTGTGTTTTAATTAAATATTTTCTAACCTTATGTCTACTTCACTACCCTGAAAAGCTTTTAGTAGAACGGATAACCTCAATGAGTTGTTTTTTTTTGTAGGCTTACACTGAACTGCTTTTTGAACCCATTCCACCCGGCACAAAGTTCAGGATAATAGCTCTACTGCTATAAGACATTTGCGTTTTGAAAAGCCTTACTATTTTGTTTCTAAAAAAACTTTGATGCTTCATTTAAATTTTTTATCTGGGCTTGTACAATCGAATAGAGTTGCTTAAGCAACATTCCAGACTTAAAGGATTTTCATAAAC